AGAATCCATGTGAGATTATCCTGATACGACGGAGTCATTCGAACTCTTTAGTGGAGTGGTAAGTTGCTAACTTCCCCGAGAAGTAGATTGTTTTTATCACCGATTCATTTAAATCTGACTACCTCGAGCCCTTATTGACTCGTAGCTGATGCGAAATAGAGCTGAGCGCACTGAATTCCTTCAGCAGAGCCTTGTATCGAAGTAAAATCTGGTTGCTTATCAAGCGAATAAAATTTGCGTTATGAAGTCATGACCAAATAGTCCGTTCCGTCTGTCCATACCTCAGTACGAGAACTTACATTCAGACTGCACAACAAACCGCATTTCGAGCACAAGTCAGGGCATTTTATTCTGGGTAGGGAATAGGAAACCGAAAAAGGAAATGCAGAAGCACGAAAACAGGAGAAATCCCACAAAACCCCATTGCTCGTGTATCAGATAATATGCAATCTAATAAAGAGCAAAGTAGGGAATTACTTGTCTCATACTGTTAATTTCGTGATTTATTTGGTGTTCCGAGTAGAATTATTGATTAATGAATAAAGGGGATAGGTTTCTGAAGAAACTTTGGTGCTGCTTCGGTGGGAGAGTATAACAGGGTAATTTAGTACTATCAGCTGAGTTGATTACGTAAATTGGCTTCTGTAAAGAGTTTAAAAGATGACGTTTCGAGCATTAGCCCTCCGTCTATCGCTTTAACGAAGGGCTGACGCTCGAAACGTCAGCTTTTAAACTCTTTACGGTGGCCAATTAACGTTATCAACTCAGTTGACAATACTAAATTACACAATTATTGATTGTTTGATTCATTATTTTGAAAACTTTGGATGGCAGATTTTTAGCTAACTGCTCGATGAAATCAGGGTAATTACCTTGTGTCGCCCATTTTCTGAACAAGGATGTGCTCCATTTTCTTAAAAATACTTCACTGTGCTTTATAGACATCGGCAGAATCATTTTAAGAAGTGTCAAACATCAGACAGTCTACACCCAAAAAAAACCAAATTTTGACATATTTCCATCAGTCTAAACGACTCTGATTGGGTGGCATTTCCAATGCTAAATTTTCCTAAGTCTGTCAAGTAAAGTAGATGCAGCCTCAATTACTTTTTGAAGGTGTAGGTGCACAGATGAAAACGTGAACGCGTATATTGTATGCGCAGCATGTATAGAATTCTAGACATGATTTTTCAAATATGAATGTGAAAGTACGTGTGCAGGCGATTCCCCTTTTAAAATGGAATAGCTTAAGCCTTGAAATTTATCAATTGCTGAAGGCCTTATTTAGTATAGTGTGGCGTCGCGTTGTACATGCTTGAACTTTAGACTCGAGTGTCATGTTTGCTTTAACTTTGGACTCACGATTAGTGCAAAAAACTTGTGAAGATCGTCGATCGGAGAGTAGGTATTTTAAAGGTCGTAGTCGATATCTTTCTGCTATTAGTTACAATCAATAAAAACGTTCGTTGGGTTGAAGAACTGTTGATATTGGAATCAACAACAAGTTTATAATAAACTGAATACATTTACGATGAATTTGCATTTTATACCGAAACAGTTAGGGTTGAAACTTACTTGAATCGCATTGTCCTTTCTCAAAGAATAGTAATAAAACTGAAACAAGAAAAAATTCATTAGACATAAGACTGAAAAAAATTAAGGAGGTGGCCATATAGACTGGCTTTTGTCCACATTTTTTTTTTAGGTAGCAAGAACCTAGGCAAAAAGCAGAAGCAGGAGAGAACAATGGGACATTACTTTCTCATGTCTAGAATAGATTGGGACCAGACAGGGTTTAAATCGCATAAGAGAAAAAATAGACTTAGAGCAGAATATAACCGGAAACTAAAATAAAAAATAACAAACAACTGAAACAAGAAAAAATTCATTGGACATTTGACCAAAAAAAAGATGCAAGAGATGGTCATATAGACTGCTCTTTATCTGTAATTTTTCATATAACACGAGAACCTAGGCAAGAATCAAAGGAGAACAATGGGACATGATTTTCTCTTGTCTAAAAGAGATTGGGACGAGACAGAGTTTTAATCGCACAAGAGAAAAAATAGACTAAGAGCAGAAAATAACCGGAGATAAAATAAAATACAAGATGAAATACAAATGCATTCGAAAATAAAATTTGCTTTCCAAATGAAGGAAATTTACTCCATGACCATTTTCATTAGGTGCAGCGCATAGGAAGCTCGGTGTCTGCAAAACAATCGCCCTTAAACTCCCTAACGTCTCGACTGCGTTGTTTCTGGATTTTTCTAAAACAAGCATTTCTTTCTCTAAATGATTTCATTAGTGAATGGACTTCCGTGTCGATTCCGTGTATTTTGTACAGTTTATAAGGACTTAAAAGACCCAGCTTATCAAAATGAAATAAGCCAAAAAGATTTAATTCACTTCAAATACGGCCAGGTTAACGAAAGTACTCTAACTCCTTGCTAAGGTTGCGCAGGATTTACGCGGTTTTGAATGGGGCGTACGAACGCCCTGTCAAATCCATAAGCGAGCTGTTAGACACTTGTCACATTGTCACAAAGATTTACAGGCTAAAAGAAATAAAGGAAATGAAAATCAAAAGAACTAAGAAGCAGCAGTAATGAGTTGGTTGGATTTAGATACTCCTATTCTCCCACACCGTAAATTCCTTTCAGTCTATAACAGTAAAATATCAGGATTCACTGAGCTGAGTACGACAAAGGCCTGCGTGGTTGGTAAAATAACAGTAACCTTATCCAAATATGTTTAAACATATTGACCACAATTTTCCTTTGTCTACAACCGAGGGAGGAATTGCGTTTTGGCAATTTTTTAGATCGGTTTTTCGGTTTTTGTGCCAAAAAACTTCAGTTTTTCGGTTTTGGTGTTCATTGCAGTTTATGAATTTTCCGTTTTTCAGCATTTGGTTTTCGGTTTTCGCGAAAAATAGTAACGGGTTTTCGGATTTGATATCCGGTGCGGTTTTTGGTTTTTCCTATTTGAACACAGGCGGCTCAACCTTCAGCTGTGAGATGATTCTCTTACAAGATAACAGTCATGGTGAAATTAAAAGGGTTTGTATGGGAATATTTACGACCGCTTTAAGAAATAAAAAAATAAGTCAAATTCTCACAAAAAATACCTCACCTTACTTCCCCAGTACATTGTTTTTTCCTCGTTAAATTAATAGAAATAGGCAAAGAAAGTTTTCTTTGGTTGTTTAACTTTTTCAAAAAAGTTGCCATTTTTTTCTCTGTATTTTTGCAATCGGACTTTGTAAAAGTATCATCCAAAACGACATTTTGTCGTTTCACAGTAGTTTTCCAGGAAATTTACCCCAAAACTTGTGTTTTTCCTATCTTCTTGTTGGATTGATGGTCTTCTTTTCGTTTCCTTGTTAGTTGTTTGTTCAGTTAATACCCACGCCCCTGTTGCGATGTAGCGCTTATTAAAAGCATTTTTCCGCATATACCAAAACCTCATATGCAGTTGGATATCTTAAATGTTCATTGAATTTTTATACCTTTTCGAAGCAGTGATTCAAGGAGAAAATTGAAGGGAAGTCCCAGAAAGTCGTTCGAAACTTCTATTATTTGGTAATTTCATTAAAAAAATTATTTACATACAAAAGAAGGGCGCACATTAATAGAAAACAACAAAAAATATTCTAAAGTTAAAGTTTTCTTTTTTTTCTCTCCTTTTAAGTGCAGGAATGGGAGAAAGGTGGGGAAAGGAGGAAGAGGGAGCACGCGCGCTAGCTAGCAGCGCTCGTAGGAAAGAGGAAGCGAACCCTTTGTTCTAACTGACTACCTGAGCGAGGAGGATCGACCTATCTTGCCCAATCGGGATTGCCCGCGCGAGAATAAATTGCTTCGAGGATTTACAGTGTTTGTGATTTTAGGACAATGTCAGCAATGGAGTCTTAAAAAGCGGCATATGACTGTCAGAACAAAGAGAGGATGAACAAGTTTCGTGAGCCTTTTATTGTGCTATAAAAACCTGAAAATATCAAGACTATAAGACTATAAGACTATATCAAGTGATAAGTCACTCTTGATTCTTACTAGTGATACATGTTTGTTATATGTTAAATCCTTGATTTACCAAGCTTGTTGGGTCAATATGGCTGAATTTTAGCCCCGTTTTTTTTTGTTTAGTTCCGTTTTTGATTTATTATGCACCTTGACTTCGTCCCAGCCATAAGAATGCAAAAAAAGACAAAAACTATGACAATGTCCTGCTATCTTGTCCTCACGCTTGGCCAATAACGCATATATACTAAATTACTTTTAAGATGCATATTATGTTTTTCAAGCTTTTTCAAGTCTAAGGGCTTTCACACCGGTTACATTTCGTTTATCTTGTACTAAATTTATGCATACATGAAAACCGATTTAGCTATAAAAGTGATCCGAAAAACTTTTTAACGCTAAAAAAAAACCCCAATACACAGATAAATTCGATCCGCTAACAGCTAAAAATGATCTAAAAGAAAGATTCCCGGGACTAAACTTCACACTCAAATCCTTGATATTAAGACTTTTCAGTCCACCTTAGAGTTAAGCTAAATGCATATGATTCAAAACTTCAGCGATCTAAAGACATCTCCCGGATACACTTGACAGGACTAGAACAAGTTGTTCATTGACACATGCATGATCAAAGCTGAGAAATGAAGAAGCATCATTGGACGCCTTACAGGTAATCCGCTTCCCCGTCCTGAAAAAATGAGAAAGATAGAAAGATAGATGTAAAGACAATATGCAAACCATGCCTTTTTTGTGGTTAGTTGACTAGATAGAGGAAAAAACGTTCGCTGTGTATAAAAAACAAATCAAAAATAAAATTCAAAACAAACAAACAGAAAAATTCAAACATTGTCCTACGGCGATTACGTCAAGTTGTAAAACACTGAGATTATCTAATATGGGTTGAATGAGCTCTACTTTCCAAAGGAAAAGATGTAAAAAAAACCTACGTGCCGCGTCACTAAAGATAGACGTAAAAGTAACTCATCGATATAAAACAACTGCTTTAAAAGAAGCTTTGAGTCCCTTGTTTACAGTAGTGGAATTACTGTCACTCAGGAACTGAACCCAAACCATGTTCCCTTGACTCAGTATCGAGTTTGGCTTTGTATTTCCACACAGGCGTCCTGTCAGGATTGGACCAATACCGCCATTGGGATTACCAACCACGATGGATGTTTCACGGAACTCAACATAATCGTTTTTGCAACCCACACTGTCTTCCAGCCCAAATATATCAAAGTCTATCTGGACATTCTGTCCCTCAGGGACGATTAAAATCCACTGTTCTGCGTAACTTGAGGGATAGTTCTCAATGTCGACTTTTGGTGAGCCAAACTCAATAGTTTCATCTTCCGTTGCATTTAGATAGTTAACTCTACCCACTGCAAAATGAAAGTAGTCTGTTACCACACAAAAAGTTAACGAAATCAATAAAAGTTATCAAGAGAATGCGTCTGCTTTGATTTTAAAAAATATGCCCGTGTGAAGCAACATTTATTGTCAGGCTCATACCCTGACACAGCTAAGCTTGTGGGTAAATAACCTGTGGTTGGAGGGTGGTGGAGAGTATAAAGCAGCAGGCTTAGGAGGGGTTGCAAATATATGCCGGCTCTAGCCATTGTAAATGGAGGGGGGGGCTTAATGTCTAGACCAGCAATGGTAAGCAGGGTGGGTCAGTGGCAGTTGTGTGTCCAAAGCCCAGGGGTAGGGAGGGTAGGTTTTGGGGCATAGGAGGGGTTGCAAATATATGCCGGCTCCAGCCATTGTAAATGGAGGGGGTGGGAGCTTAATGTCTAAACCAGCAACGGTAAGCAGGGTGGGTCAGTGGCAGTTGAGTGCCCAAAGCCCAGGGGTAGGGAGGGTAGGTTTGGGACTCCTCAGTCTCAAATTGTAGTTTGCCCGTGGGCTAAAAAGAGCTTCTTAGCTTATTTTGACAAAGTACTGTTTTGCCAGATGGCCGTCAGGCTCATGCCTGACAACTGCTTAGTCAGTGGGCTAAGACATCGCCCGCCCTCCAGCCAGTCTAGCCAATGAAAATGCAGAGAAATTAAGGTCAAGGTAGCACCTACATGCAGCCCAGTTACAGGCCAATTCAAGGGTGGGTTGCAAATGGCTGTAACTAAAGGTCAGCCGGGGTAAGGAGGGTAGGATTTTTTCACCCCACGGTCAACTAGAGCTTTCTCTGAGACTGGAAAGGGCTTGTCTTTCTCATCTTGGTGGCACTCTATTTTGCAGGAGAGGTAGTCTGCCTTGTGCTCCATGGCTGATAAAACTTTAACCATTGGCTGTAGAACCATCACCCCATTGAGACTTGGCTATGAAAGTCAACTTAAATCCTGTGTAATGTGCAGTATGATCCGACACGAAGCGAAGATAGCCCGTCGATCCGACGGTAAATTCAGTTGACCAGTAGACGTTGACGATATATCCTTGTAAATAGTTGTAATTATTTCGTCCATATAATTTTGACTCCTGGTGCAAATGGTTGTAGTAATTTCCTTTTTGAAGATAGTCGTACTTACAAGCAGTGCACATTTCTACGTCAACCCTGGGAAAAGTATCGCAAACTGATATAACTGGTTTTCATTTCTTACCAACCTTAAGGAAAAGGTAAAGATTGATCTACTGGAAAAGATAAACTACTTTGAATATATTTACAATGTTTTTATCCCTAGTCTGACCGTGTTGGGCCTTAAAAGTCCCGTTACAGGATTGATTGATTACTGATATAATTGAAATGAGTAAAGTGCAATCTGGTCTGAAATCATACGCGTGATTTCAAAATCGAACGGGCGCGCAGAGCGAGTTTCATTGGTAGTCACAAGTATGATTTCAGACCAAAATTGCATCACACAGAGTTCAGTTACCACTTTATTACATCCATTTTGAAAACGCAAAATTCAGTCTCTCAAATACAGGATTTTTCAGTTAGTCTGCGAAAATATTATATTGATCCAGTCCTGCTTTCTCGTTGGCTTTGGAAAAGATGCGATTAAGAGCAAAAAAGGTGCAATTCGTGATTTAATCGTCGTACCAATGAGAGGAGAGCAGTTTCATTTGCAAGGATCTCCGGCGATTTCCAAGTTAGTGAAAGATATTTATAATTATATTGATGATGATTATTAACACAATTATCGGTCATTATCATAACATCAAAATAAATTTCTTTTACTCTCGTCCTCTTTTTCTGATTTGATATCGTAATCAGAAGGAAAGAAAACACGCTGACCGAGCAGTTTTCGGAAAAAAAAGCCGTTAGTTGTTTTTCTTTTTTTTGCATTCTTGTGGTTGGGACGAAGTCAAGGTGCATAAAGAAGCAAAAACGGGGCTAACATTCTGCCATCTTAACCCAACAAACTTATTAAATCAAGGATTTATCATACAACAAACATGTATCGCTTTAGTAAGAATCAAGAGTGACATATTACTTTTTATTCTAATTTTGACATTTTCAGGTTTTCATAGCACAATAAAAGATTCATGAAACTCGTTCATCCTCTCTTTGTTCTGACAGTTATCTGCCGCTTTCTAAGGCTCCATTGTTGACATTGTCCTAAAATCACAAATATTGCAAATCCTCGAAGCAATTTTTTCTAGGGCAGAAAATCCCGATTGGGCAAGATGGGTCGATCTTGCTCGCTTAGGCAGTCAGTTAGAATGAAGGACTCGCTTCCTCTTTCACACGAGCGCTGCTAGCGAGCGCGCGTACACCCCCCTCCTCTCCTTCCTCCCCCTTCATCCCCGCACTTAAAAAGAAAAAAAGAAGGTTTTAACTATAGAATATTTTTGGTAGTTTTCTAATAATGCGCACTCTTCCTAAATATGTAAATAAAAGTAATTTTTTTTTAGATCACTCAAGAATCAAAGTATTCGAACGACGTTTTTGAACTTACTTTGAATTTCTCCTTGAATCCTTGCTTAGAAAAGTACAAAAATATTAATGACCAGTAATTTATCACCAAGGGGGTGGGGGAGGGGACGTACAATTTTCCTCCTGGACAATTCTGTCGCTTGTACCTGAGTCTGGTTAAACTGGCAGCAATGCGAACAACATATGACTTCAACGAAGAATTCTCCCTCTGTTGCAAGTATTGAAGCCAGTACAAGTAGCGCAAGTGTCAACCAAAGCACAAAAGATCAGTAGGAAAATAATTATATCAAAGATCTTCAGCTGTCAGGACGACAACGCCGAGGAAAATATTGATTAAAAAGTTTTTATTGATTAAAAAGTGCGAATTCTCCTGGCTGGAAAATTGTACGTTCCCTTCTAGCCTCTTCCAATGGGAAAAACAACAATAACAAAACGTAACAAAAAGAAAATAAAAAGCAAAAGTAAAATATCTCGTTTCATTGTCCTCTTCCCGTTAATTTGAACTGTTAAGCCTCAATTTCGTTGCTAATCTTAGTTTTGCTGGGTCACGTCACTCGGCTGAAAAGGCTATGATCTCGGGCTGTTAGGTTCTTTCCCGATTGCTCTCCTCTCATCTTTGCTTTAGTTCATGTACCTCCGTCTGCTCTATAGCTGCAATGTTTACCAACTGATCGGGAGTAAGTTTGCCAATGATCCCCTTTCAATGTTTGGACGCAAGACAGTAAAAACCTGGGTCTATTAGATATAGTCAAGGGCTGGTGATAGACTTTTCTCGTTAAATTAATAGAAATAGACAAAGAAGTTTTCTTTAGTGGTTTAACTTTTTCAGACAGTTGCAATTTTTCCCCAGCATTTTTGCGATCAGACTTCGTAAAAGTATCATCCTAAACGACATTTTGTCGTTTCACAATAGTTTTCCAGGAAATTTGCCCCAAAACTTTTCTGTCTCTATCTCAATATCACAATATTTTGTGTTTTTTCTATCTTCTCGTTGGACTGATGGCCTTTTGTTCGTTTCCTTGTTAGTTGTTTGTTGAGTTATTAACCAAACCCCTGTTCTGGTGTAGCGCTTATACGAAGAATTCTTCCGCATACAGCAATTCTTCATATGCAGTTGGATATCCTGAGGGAACTGGGTACAAATAGTTTCGAATGCATAGATTCAAGCATGCAGGAGGGAGACCCTCCACTTGTACCCCCTTCCCCCGTCCCTTTCCCCCCTCCCCCACCCCCTTGGCGATAAATAACTGGTCATTAATATTTTTGTACTTTTCTAAGCAGTGATTCAAGGAGAAATTCAAAGTAAGTTCAAAAACGTCGTTCGAATACTTTGATTCTTGGGTGATCTAAAAAAAAATTACTTTTATTTACATATTTAGGAAGAGTGCGCATTATTAGAAAACTACCAAAAATACTCAATAGTTAAAACCTTCTTTTTTTCTTTTTAAGTGCGGGGATGAAGGGGGAGGAAGGAGAGGAGGGGGGTGTACGCGCGCTCGCTAGTAGCGCTCGTGTGAAAGAAGAAGCGAGTCCTTCATTCTAACTGACTGCCTAAGCGAGCAAGATCGACCCATCTTGCCCAATCGGGATTTTCTGCCCTAGAAAAAATTGCTTCGAGGATTTGCAATATTTGTGATTTTAGGACAATGTCAACAATGGAGCCTTAGAAAGCGGCAGATAACTGTCAGAACAAAGAGAGGATAAACGAGTTTCATGAATCTTTTATTGTGCTATGAAAACCTGAAAATGTCAAAATTAGAATAAAAAGTAATATGTCACTCTTGATTCTTACTAAAGCGATACATGTTTGTTGTATGATAAATCCTTGATTTACCAAGTTTGTTGGGTCAAGATGGCAGAATGTTAGCCCCGTTTTGTTTTATTTAGCCCCGTTTTTGCTTCTTTATGCACCTTGACCTCGTCCCAGCCACAAGAATGCAAAAAAAGAAAAACAACTGTGACAATATCCTGCCATCTTGCCCTCACGCTTGGCCAATAACGCATATATACTAAATTATTTTTAAGATGCACATAATGTTGTTCAAGCTTTTTCAAGTCTAAGGGCTTTCACACCGGCTACATTTCTTTTTTCTTGTACTAAATCTATGCATACCAATGAAATCGATTTAGCTGTAAAACTGATCTGAAAAACTTTTTAACACTAAAAAAAAAACCAAAACACACAGATAAATTCGATCCGCTGACAGCTAAAAATGACTTAAAAGAAAGATTCCCGGGACAAAGCTTCACACTCAAATACTTGATATTAAAACTTTTTAGTCCACAATCAGAGTTTACCAAAATGCATATGTTTCAAAACTTCAGCAAACAAAAGACATCTCCCGGATACACTTGACAGGACTACAACAAGTTGTTCTTTGACACATGCATGATCAAAGCTGAGAGAAAAAGAAGCATCATTGGACGGCTTACAGGCAATCCGCTTCCCTGTCCTGGAAAAATGAGAAAGAGACGATCATGTCAAGTCATAAAACACTGAGATTATTTCCTAAGAGTTGAATAAGCTCTACTTTCCAAGGGAAAAAGATATAAAAGAAGTTACGTGTCGCGTTACTGAAGACAAAAACCTCATCGTTATAACACACCTGCTTTAAAAGAAGCTTTGAGTCCCTTGTACACTGTGGTAGAGTTTCTGTCACTCACGAACTGAACCCAAACCATATTCCCTTGACTCAGTATCGAGTTTGGCTTTGTATTTCCACACAGGCGTCCTGTCAGGATTGAACCAAAATGGCCATATATTCTTTTGGGATCACCAGCCATGATGGATGCTTCACGGAACTCAACATAATCGTTTTTGCAATCCTCGCTGTCTTCAAGTTCAAATATGTCGAAGTCTATCTGGACATTCCGTCCCTCAGGGACGATTAAAATCCACTGTTCTGCGTAATCTGAGGGGTAGTTCTCAATGTCGACTTTTGGTGTGCCAAACTCAATAGTTTCATCTTCGGTTACATTCAGATAGTTTGCTGTACCCCCTGCAAAGCAAAATAAGTCTGTTATTACATAAAGAATAAAACGAAATCAATAAAGGTTACATATTTGATAAAAACAAAGAAACCAAAAAAAACCTGTATATTAGTAAGTTTATTTTACTGCAATATACTTAAAACGGAATTTTAAGAAAATTCACCCCATTCAACATGCCCTCAATCTCCATAAGGACTCTCTCCATTACATGTAAATTTACTGTCCCGACTAACTTAGCTATCAAAACTTACTAATAATAATGCGGGTGAATATTTTATAGTACCATTAAAATGAATATGGTAGAGGGGCGAATCATCCGGAGATTGAGGGCGTAATTGTCATGCAAAAATGGCAAATGACCACTTGCGGATGGCCTTTGGGTTCTTCAACTCATCTAGTAAACAAAGAAAGGTTTGATGTGGCTGGAGGAATTAAAGATTGAGCATTTATCACCCACTGCAAAATGAAGGCAGTCTGTTACTACATGAAAAATTAACGAAATCAATAAATGTTATCAAGGGAATATGTCTAATTTGATTTCAAAAACTATGCCGGTGTGTAGCAACTTTGATTGTCAGGTTCGTACCCTGTCACAGCTAAGCTTGTGGGTTAAACACCCTGTGATTGGAGGGTGGTGGAGAGTCCAAAGCAGCAGGCTTAGGAGGGGCTGCAAATATCTGCCGGCTCCAGCTATTGAAAATGGACGGGAGCTTAACGTCTAGATCAAAAACGGGAGTACCGAACGTAGGGTGGGTCACCGGCAGTTGTATTACCAAACCCCATGGGTAATAAGGGAAGGTTTTGGGCTCCTCAGCCTCAAGTTGTAGTTTGCCCGTGGGTTGAAATGGACTTCTTAGCTTAGTTTGCTGTTTTGCCTGACGGCCGTCAGGCTTATGCCTGGCAACTGCTGAGTAAGTGGGCTAAGACAGAGCTCACCTTCGAGCCAGCCTAGCCAATGAAAATGCAGCGGAATTAACGTCAAGTTAGCACCTACGTGCAGCACAGTTACAGGCCCATTCAAGGGTGGGTTGCAAATGGTTCTGTGTCTAAAGGTCAGCCGGGGTAAAAAGGGTGGGGTTTTTGAACCCCTCGGTCAACTGGAGTTTTCTCTGTGCCCTGTCACACCTCAGCCACTGGGCTAAGACTCCATGGCTGTTAAAATGTAAACCGTTGGCCGTAAAAGCCATCACGTTATTAATAACCTCTTTGTATAGTTATTACCCACCTTTCCTGGACATGGCTATGAAGGTCAACTTAAATCCTGTGTAGTGTACAGTATCATCCGACACGAAGCGAAGATAGACCGTCGGTCCAGCCAAACTGTCGCCAGTTGTCCAGTCGACGTTGACGATATATCCCTGTAAATAGTTGTAACTATATCGTCCACATTCTTTAAACAGCTGGTTCAAATAGCTGTAGGAAGTTCCTCTTTGAAGATAGTCGCACTTACAATCGGAGCAACTTTCTATATCAATCCTGGGAAAAATATCACAAGCCGATATAACTGGTTTTCAGTTCATACGAACCTTAAGGACAAAGTGAAGATTATCTACTGGAGAAGATAAATTACTTTGAATATATTAACAATGTTTTTATTCCTAGTCTGACCGTGTCGGGCCTTAAAAGTCCCGATACAGGACTGATTGATTACTGATATAATTGAGATAAATAAAGAGCAATTTGGTCTGAAATCATACGCGTGATTCCAAAATCGCACGGGCGCGCAGCGTGAGTTTCACTTGAAGTCACAACTATGATTTCAGACAAAAATTTTACCACACAGAGTTCAGTTACCACTCTATTACACCCATTTTCAAAACGCAAAATTCAGTTGCTCAAATACAGGATTTTTTTAGATAGTCTGCACAAATATTTTATTGATACAGTTCTTAGCTAACTCGTAAAAAGTTGCAAAAGTTGTCTTTCATTTTCCAGAAATTTGATTGGTAACTTTATAAAGAAGCCTTGAAATCTGATTGGTTGTTGTGTTTCAGTAAAGCTTTCTCATTGGCTGGGAAAAAGATGCAATTAAGAGCAAAAAAGGGTGCAATTCGTGATTTCATCGCATCAATGAGAGCCAAGCAGTTTGCATGGATCTCCAATGATTTCCAAATGAGTGTGATAAAAATAGTTATATCTATTTTGATGATGATTATCAACATAATTATCAGTCATTATCATAACATCAAAAAAAAATACGAGAGGCAATCTGATAATTGCGCCGGTTACTTGAAGAGTTACAATTCAATCATTTGCAGTTTTACCCATGAAATATTTTTTTTTTATTCTCGTCCTCTTTTTCTGATTTGGTATCGTAATCAAATGGAAAGAAACCCACGCTGGCCATGCAGCTTTCAAAAAAAATGACGAGGCTCGAGCATTGTTCAAATATTCTTTCGTCAAGATGGTTGACACTTCTCTCGCTCTTTTTATGAGGATGCAAGCTATGAGGTTGGAGATGCGCCATCTGAAAAATTCGCTTAATCTCGCCGGCGATCATGCATATTTATATCCTTTCGGGAACTAGCACCATATTTCAGAGGGTTTAAAGGTAATTTTCTGAGTTGTTATGAAATTACTTTGGGATTTTTTTTGTCTCTGCTTTTAGATGTACATTAACATGAAGATTGACGGCAACATCAAATGAAATTGAAATGAAGTGTGAGCCTCAGAGGTTTGCATGTTACTGACGAGTGCTATACATGGAAAACCTACCTGGAAAAATAAAATTGAATGCGATGATAAGTGTCGGGGACCGTAATGCTCCAACATTTGGTCTCATTCTTACCATAAGTACCTGACTCAGGATATTCAAGCTCACCACTGGAAGCTGTGATGTTCGTTATGCCATTGGGACAAACTATTATGAAGACAAAGAGTAAGTTTAAATGTTGACTTCATATCTCACCCAAAATTGAGAGAATCCATGAGAGATTATCGTGATACGACGGAGTCACTCGAACTCTTTAGTGGAGTGGCAAGTTGCTAACTTCCCCAAGAAGTAGATTATTTTTATCACTGATTCATTAAAATCTGAATACCTCGAGCCCTTACTGACTCGTAGCTGATGCGAAATAGAGCTGGAGCGCACTGAATTCCTTCAGCAGAGCCTTATATCGAAGTAAAATCTGATTGCTTACCAAGCGAATAAAATTTGGGTTATGAATTAATGACCAAATAGTCCGTTCCGTCTGTCCATACCTCCATACGAGATATTACATTCAGACTTCACGGTAAGTCGCATTTCGAGCACAAGTCAGGGCATTGTATATTGGGTTGGGAATAGGAAACCGAAAAAGGAAATGCAGAAGAACGAAAACAAGAGAAAACCCACACAAGCCCATTGCTCGTGTATCAGATGATATGCAATCTAGTAAAGAGCAAAGTAGGAAAGTACTTGTTTCATACTGTTCATTCGTGATTCACTGCGTATCTCGAATACAATTGTTGATTCATGAATAAGGGGAGTAGGTTTCTAAAGAAACTGTGGTGCTGCTTCTGAGGGAGAGTATAACAGGGTAAGTTAGTATCGTCAACTGAGTTAATAACGTAAACTTGGCCACCGAAAAGAGTTTAAAAGCTGACGTTTCGAGCGTTAGGCCCCGTTATCGCTCTGAGGAAGGGCTGAAGCTCGAAAAGTTAGCTTTTACACTCTTTACGGCGGCCAATTTACGTTATTAAGTCAGTTGATAATACTAAATTACTCAATTATTGATTGTTTGATTTATTGTTTTGAAAACTTTGGATGGCAGATTTTTAGTTAACAGCTCGATGAAATCAGGGTAATTACCCGGTGTCGCCCATATTCTAAACAAGGGTGTGCTCCATTTTCTTAAAAATACTTCACTGTGCTTTACAAACATCGGCAGCATCATTTTTAGAAGTGTCAAACATCAGACAGTCTACACCCAAAAAAACCAAATTTCGACATATTTCCATCAGTCTAAACGACTCTGGTTGGGTGGCATTTCCAATGCTAAATGTTCCTAAGTCTGTCAAGCAAAGTAGATGCAGCCTCAACTACTTTTTGAAGGTGTAGGTGCACAGATGAAAATGTGAACGTGTGCAATGTATGCCCAGCATGCATAGAATTCTAGACATGATTTTTCAAATCTAAATGTGAAAGTACGTCTGCAGGCGATTCCCCTTTTTAAATGAAATAGCTTAAGCCTTGAAATTTATCACTTGCTAAAGGTCTTATTTAGTATAGTGTGTCGTCGCGTTGTACATCCTTGAACTTTACATTCGAGTTTGCTTTAAGTTTGGACTCGCGATTAGTGCGAAAAACTTGTGATCTGAGAGTAGGGATATCTTTCTGCTATTAATTACAATCATTAAAAACGTTCGTGGGGTTGAAGAACAGTAGGTTGATATTGCAATCAACAACAAGTATATTATAAACTGAATACACTTACAAAGAATTTGCATTTTATACCGAAACATTTCGGGTTTCAAACTTACTTGAATCGCATTGTGCTCTTTCAAAGAATAGTAATAAAACTGAAACAAGAAAAAATTCATTAGACATTAGACTGAAAAAAGATTCAGGAGGGGACCATATAGACTGGTTTTTACTTGTACTTTTTTTATATAATGCAGCAAAAACCTAAGTGAGAAGCAACAGAGAACAATGGACCATTATTTTCGCTTGTCCAGAAGAGATTGGGACGAGACAGGGTTTTAGTCGCCAAAGAGAACAAATAAACTAAGAGGAAAAAATAACCTGAGATGAAATAAACACAAAATGAAATACAAATGAATTCGAAACTAAAGTTTCCTTCCCCAAATGAAGGAAAGTTATTATTTAACCATTTTCATTAGGTGCAGCGCACGAGAAGCTCGGCTCTGCTAAACAATCGCCCTGAGTTTAAGAAACGAGAAGGGCGACGCCGTCGACAACGTCGGTACCTACGAATCTCGCGATACTCTAAAGTCATTTAGTTTGTTTCTCGCCGTAAAAACTATCCCGAAACTGAATTTGGAACACAGCGTTAAATTTGAAATAGAAATTCAAAAAATTAGCCATCGCCGTTCACATTTTCCAGACAACACGAAGTTTGATCATTTCACGTTGTTTTTTTTGCAGAGGACCACAGAAATTTACAAAGATTTATAACACACGTGCACAGTCATTGTTGTGCTCATGAAACTCGTTGTTTATTGAGGTTCCAGTTGCCGTTGCCGTCGTGGTTTTCTAAAACTCACTTACGTTTCGGCTGCGCTGTTTCTGGATTTTTGTGAAAACAAGCATTTCTTCCTCTTATTGATTTCATTCATGAATGGACCTTCGTGTATTTTGTACACTTATCAGACCCAGCAGTTCAAAATTAAATAAGCCAAAAATTATTATTGTTATTCACTTCAAATATTGCCAGGTTAACGAAAATACTCTTGAATCCTTGCCAAATTTGAGCAGGATGTATGCGGTTTTGAACGGGGTTTGCGCATCGCCCAGAAATCTATAAGCGAGCTGCCAGATCCTTAACACATTGTCACAAAGATTAACAGGCTAGAAGACATAAAGGAAAATCAAAATCAAAAGAACTTAACTTGAAAGCGGGAAAAATGATTCAGGCGTGTCGCTCTTTGGGAAATTAGCATGGTTTGATACACGAGGGATGAACAACTTACCAATGACAGAAGCAGCTGTAATGAGTTGGTTGGAATTGAACACTCCCATTCTTCCGCTCCGTAAATTTCCTTTGTGTATAGCAGTAAAATATCAGGATTCACTGAGCAGAGTACGACAAAGGCCAGCGTGGTTGGTAAAATAACAGTAACCTTATCCAAATATGTTTAACATATTGAACACAACTTTCCATTGTCTATAACCTTGTTGATCGTATAAATGACGTCCACGATGAACGTAACCACGCGGTGTAGTCGACTGTTTGCTTTCAAAGTTTAGAATATTTGCATATTTCTAATTTTGCAATTGTTTGTACGAGATAATTTTTTTCTCCGACATGGCGAGGGTTGTGTTACATGGAACGTTATTTTTATTGTCTATAAACTTATTGACAATAGCTCTCGACCAATGGGAGAGAGAAATACAGTTAGGCCCGAGTCGCACCAGAGCTTCATTTTTAACTCGTGAATTGCGCGCATGCAGTCTGCTCAGTAGCGTGCAACGTAGAAGGAGATCGTAATAGAGAGGATCGCTCCCCAACCCCACTATCACAACGGCTGCAATGAATGAGCTTTCAGCTGAGCATAACTCGACTTCTAGTGACGATAAGATAATCTTTTAGTGCGGGTGATTTCTATTCAATAGGAAACCTCCTATGTTTGTTTCTAAGATTAAAGGCCACAATGAAAATTGTCAGACTTTGACATTATATGGCTTTGAGTTTATATAATTCTTCTGTTATAATCAAATCATTCATTAATTATTTTTAACGAATCATTTCCACATTTAATCCATTATGTTTTGATTGAGGAGATTCTTCGTGACAAAATGAATGGCTGAGCTAAAAAAAAAAAAAAAACGGGATTAAAACACATTCCCAATACTTCTGATACTGGTGGCTTGACAAATGGTATTTACGACTGGGCTTCGTTCAAACTCTGAAAATTACTGCGATGTTAAGTTGACTCTAAACCCTTGCGGGTTGGCCGAATTTTTTTTTTTTTTTTAAGTCGAAATTTTAAAACGCGCGCGAATAGACGTGAACTCCCTAGCGGCTTTTGCGCAACAAACAGCTTCACCGGGAGATCCTATTTCAACTCAACTTTGTTTACATTCACGTTTGAGTCCTTTATTTTTGGAGAGTACATGCAAAAAAGAGAGAAAAAAAACTGTGACAATATCCTGCCATCTTCTCCTCACGCTTGGACAATAATACTTATCTACTAAATTATTTCAAAGATGCACATAATGTTGTTCAAGCTTTCTTAAGTCTAAGGGCTTTCAAACCGTTTAAATTTTGTTTTTATTGTACTAAATTTATGCAGATGAAAAAAAAAACATAACGCACAGATAAATTCGATCCGATGAGAGATAAAAACGATCTAAAAGAAAGATTGGGACAAAGACGGGACAAAACTACACACTCAAAATCCTTGATATTGAAAATTTTAAGTCGACAATCAGAGTTTACCAAAATGCATATAATTTAAAACTTCAGCGAACAAAAGACATCTCCTGGATACACTCGACAGGACTACAATAAGTTGTTCTTTGACACATGCACGATCAAAGCTGAGAGAAAAAGAAGCACCATTGGACGGCTTACAGGCAATCCGCTTCCCTGTACTGAAAAAATGAGAAAGATTGAAAGATTGATGTAAAGACTACATACAAATCATTCCTTCTTATGGTTAGTTGACAAGAGAGGAAAAAAGTTTGCTGTCTCTAAAAAAAAAAAACAAAGACAAAATTAAAAAACAAACAAACAGAAAAACTCAAACATTGTCCTGCGGCGATCATGTCAAGTCATAGAACACTGAGATTATGTATTAAGAATTGAATGAGCTCTACTTTCCAAAGGAGAAAGATATAAAAGAACTTACGTGCCACGTTACGAAAGACAAACCTAACACACCTGATTGTTGTAACACACCTGCTTTAAAAGAAGCTTTGAATCCCTTGTGCACTGTGGTAGAGTCTCTATCACTCACGAACTGAACCCAAGCCATATTCCCTTGACTCAGTATCGAGTTTGGCTTTGCATTTCCACACAGGCGTCCTGTCAGGATTGGACCAAAATGGCCATATATTCTTTTAGGATCACCAACCATGATGGATGCTTCACGGAACTCAACGTAGTCGTTTTTGCAATCCTCGCTGTCTTCCAGTTCAAATATGTCGAAGTTTATCTGGACTTTCCGTCCCTCAGGGACGATTAAAATCCACTGTTCTGCGTAATTTGAGGGGTAGTTCTCAATGTCGACTTTTGGTGTGCCAAACTCAATAGTTTCATCTTCGCTTGCATTCAGATAGTTTATGTCACCCTCTGCAAAATGAGAGTAGTCTGTTACCACATGAAAAATTAAAAGTTATCAAGTGAATACGTCTGCTTTGATTTGAAAAAATAAGCTCGTGTCTAGCAACACTGATTGAAAGGCTTATACCCTAAGCTTGTGAGTGAACACCCTGTGGTTAGTTTGCAGGATTGGTAGTCAGGCTTGTGACCTGTTACACCTCAGCCACTGGACTAAGACTCCATGGCTGATAAAATTTTTAACTGTTGGCTGTAAAAGCCATCACCTCATTAAGACCCTCTTTGTATAGTTATTACCCACCTGTCCTAGACATGGCTATGAAGTTCAACTTAAATCCTGTGTAGTGTACAGTATCATCCGACACGAAGCGAAGATAGACAGTCGGTCCAGCCAAACTGCCGCCAGTTGTCCAGTCGACGTTGACGATATATCCCTGTAAATAATTGTAACTATATCTTCCACATGCTTTAAACCGCTGGTCCAAATAGCTGTAGGAAGTTCCTCTTTGAAGATAGTCGCACTTACAATCAGAGCAACTTTCTATATCAATCCTGAGAAAAATATCACAAGCCGATATAACTGGTTTTCAGTTCTTACCAACCTTAAGGACAAAGTGAAGATTATCTACTGGAGAAGATAAATTACTTTGAATATATTAACAGTGTTTTTATTCTTAGTCTGACCGTGTCGGGCCTTAAAAGTCCCGATACAGGATTGATTGATTACTGATATAATTGAGATAAATAAAGAGCAATTTGGTCTGAAATCATACGCGTGATTCCAAAATCGCACGGGCGCGCAGCGCGAGTTTCATTTGATTTCATATGATTTCAGACAAAAATTTTACCACACAGAGTTCAGTTACCACTCTATTACACCCATTTTCAAAACACAAAATCCAGTAGCTCAAATACAGAATTTTTTTAGATAGTCTGCACAAAAATTTTATTGATCCATTTCTGAGCTAACTCGTAAAAAGTTGCAAAAGTTGTCTTTCATTTTCCAGAAATTTGATTGGTAACTTTATAAAGAAGCCTTGAAATCTGATTGGTTGTGTTTCAGTAAAGCTTTCTCATTGGCTGGGAAAAAGACGCAATTAAGAGAAAAAAGGGTGCAATTCGTGATTTCATCGCATCAGTGAGAGCCAAGTAGTTTGCATGGATCTCCACTGATTTCCAAATGAGTGTGATAAAAATAGTTATATCTATTTTGGTGATGATTATCATAACATCAAAATAAAATACGAAATGCAGTCTGATAATTGCGCCAGTTACGTGAAGAGTTACAATTCAATCATTTGCATTTTTACCCACTAAATATTTTTTTATTCTCGTCCTTTTTTTCTGATTTGGTATCGTAATCAAAAGGAAAGAAACCCACGCTGGCCATGCAGCTTTCAAAAAAAAAATGAAGTGGCTCGAGCATTTTTCAAATATTCTTTCGTCGAGATGGTTGACACTTCTCTCGCTCTTTTTAAGAGCATGCAAGCTACGAGGTTGGAGATGCGCCATCTAAAAAATTCGCTTGATCCCGCCGGCGATCATGCATATTTATATCCTCTCGGGAACTAGCACCATATTTCAGAGGGTTTAAAGGTAATTTTCTGAGTTGTTATGAAATGAATTTGTGATTTTGTTTGTCTCTGCTTTTAGATGTCCATTAACATGATCAGCAGCATCAAATGAAATGGAAATGAAGTGTGAGCCTCAGAGGTTTGCATGTTACTGACGAGTGTTATACATGGAAAACTTACCTGGAAAAACGATATCGAATGCGATAATAAGTTTCGGGAACCGTAATGCGCCAACATTTGGTCTCATTCTTACCATAACTACCTGACTCAGGATATTCAAGCTCACCACTGGATGCTGTGATGTTCGTTATGCCATTGGGACAAACTGTTATGAAGACAAAAAGTTAGTTTAAATGTTGACTTCATATTTCATTCAAAATTGAGAGAACCCATGGGGAGATTATCCTGATACGAGGGAGTCACTCGAACTCTTTAGTGGAGTTGGAAGTTGCTAACTTCCCTGAGAGGTAGATTGTTTTCATCACTGATACATTTAAATCTTAGCCCTTACTGACTCGTAGCTGATGCGAAATAGAGCGGGAGCGCACTGAATTCCCTCAGCGGAGCCTTATATCTAAGTAAAACCTGGTTGCTTAACTGAATAAAATTTGGGTTTTGAAATCATAACGAAAAAGTCCGTCCCGTCTGTCCATACCTCCATACGTGAAATTACATTCAGACTGCACGACAAGCCGCATTTCGAGCACAAATCGGGGCATTGTATATTGGGTAGGGAATAGGAAACCGAAAAAGGAAATGTAGAAGCACGGAAACAGGAGAAATCCCACACATAATATGCCATTTAGTAAAGAGCAAAGTAGGAAAGCGCTTGTCTCATATTGTCAGCTTCAATTTCGTGATTCCCTTTGTGTCCTGAATATAATTGTTGATTAATTAACAAAGGACGTAAGTTTCTATAGAAACTGCGGTGCCGCGTCGGTGGGAGAGAGTAACAGGGTAATGTGGTACTATCAACTGAGTTAATAACGTAAATTGGCCACCATGGAGAGTTTTAAAGCTGACGTTTCGAGCGTTAACCCTTCGTCAGAGCGATAGACGAAGGGCTAACGCTCGAAACGTCAGCTTTTAAACTCTGCGGTGGCCAATTTACGTTATCAACTCAGTTGATAATACTAAATTACACAATTTTGACTGTTTGATTTACTATTATAAAAACTTTGGATTACGGATTTTTCACTTACAGCTCGATGAAATCAGGACAATTACCCCTTAGGGCCCATTTTCTGACCGACGATGTGCTCCATTTTCTAAAAATATTTCACTGTACTTTAAAAACTTTGGCTGCATAATTATTAGAAGTGTCAAACCTTGAAGTGCTATCAGTCTAAACGATTCTGTTTTGGTGGCATTTCCGAAGCTAAATTTTCTTATGTCTGTCAGGCAAAGTAGATGCGGCCTCAATTACTTCTTGAAGTTGTAGGCGCACAGATGAAAACGTAAACGTGTGCATTGTCTGCCCAGCACGCATAGAATTCCAGACATGATTTTTCAAATCTAAATGTCGATGAGAATGTACACCTGCAAGCGATTTCCCTTTTCAAATGGAATACCTTAAGTCCTGAAATTCATTAATTATGTAATCAGCCAAATAGATTTATTCTTAATGAGTAAATTATACAGCAATTTATGTGTTTGTTGTCTATGAAACTCACTTGAATCGCAGTGTCCTTTGTCGAAGAATAATGTTAAAACTGAAAAAAAAATTCATTAGTTACTAGACTGAATTGGAGAAGGTAAGAGGTGGACTGCTCTCCATCTGTACGTTTTTATGACGCAGCAACAACATAGGAGAGAAGCAAAAGAAAATAACGGGACATTGTTTTCTCTTGGGACGGGGTTGGGGTTGGGAAGGGGTTGGGACGAGACAGGGTTTGACAACGAGATGAAATGAAAACCAAGATGAAACACAAACAAATCCGAAACTAAAAATTCTTTACCCAATTGATGGCAAATCAGTTCTTTATAAATATTTTCATTATGCGCGGAGCATGAAAAGGTCAGCGTCAATAAAATAATCACCACGAAGCCGTAATTTCTAGGCTACCCTGTGTCTCTATGTTTCAAAATCAAGCTTTCCTTTCTCTCTTGATGCCATCAGACGATGAACTTCAGTGTAATGGATTCGGTTTATTATATTCAGCTTATCAAAATCAAATAAGCAAAAAAATGTACTTAATATTATCAGAATCACGAATTGACTCCTTGCCATGCTAAACGCGGTCTTGCAAGGTTGAAAAGGCGTTCACCATGTTAATCTATGAACGAGCTGTTTGATCCGTGTCACAGCAACACAAAGATTTACATCCTAAAGAATGCGAAGTACATGAAAATTAAAAGAAGTGCAAGCTACTTAAACTTGAATTGAAAGCGATAAAAGTAATGCCATTGCATCGCTTTTTGGACAACGCGGATGTTTTAATACGTGATGGATGAACTTCATCCATTTGACAACTTACCGATGATGGAAGCAACTGTAACCAGTTGGTTAGATGTGAATACTCCCATTCTTCGACACAGTTAAGTTCTCTTTGTTGATAACAGTAAAAGATCAGGGTTTACTGATGTTAGGATGACAAATTTCCGAACTGTTGGTAAAATTACAGCAACCTTCTTACTTATTGATATGTTTCCCAACACAATTTCGTCTTGAATGGGGTCATGGTATTAGGTCAATTTTCTGCAACAAAGCTGCACAAATAGCACATAGTTCAAATGTTTTGAATTCGTACACGCAACATTCATTCGCTTTTCCTTCGATTATTGCCCTTGGTTAAATGGGAATTTTCGCATTGGTGAGTTTATAATCAGAGGGTGAAGACCAATTAAAAGAGAAACAGCGATGGTGTGGTGAATAAACTGCAGGGTGTTTTTGGCAGCTTTTAATGACAACAGCTTGAGAGGAGCTTTACTTATGTAAACAATTTGAGAGTCTATAACATACCACGGGATTAAAGTTGTAAACTAGTTATAGTTCTCACTAGAGCTGCCCCCGCCCTACAGTACCATTTTCTATTTTTTTTTTTTTTGAGTTGGGCTTGTTGTTTACAGTTGTGTAATTTTTCTGTTATGTTGTTACGGAATTGCGGCTCAGTACTTTGGTTTTAGTAATTTTGGATCTCAAAATACTACAAGTGTACAAAATGTAGTTTTGGGAAGTGCTTGGGATGTTTTTTTTTTGCTGTGTGGTTTAACTTAGGATTTGTTTGTTCTTCACGATCAAGAAGAAGCAGAATGTAGGGACTTGGGTGAGTTTTGACATTGGAATGTTATAGGTGGCATTGTAGAACAATTTATAGACAGCATTGAAGAACAATTTATATTTAAACCTGACATTTTGCACATAATAGACTAGTTATTAGACACAAAATTATACCTTGCGAGGGCAATTTTAAATAGAATTTGTTTGAAAGGCATTGAAAAATTGGTCTGTTGAATAGAACGTTCTATTATTATAAACTGTAAAAACGATAAGTGGATGAATTATAACTGGAACCAACAATATATTTTTATAACAATTGATCTTTTTTGATTGATTAAAGCTTTTTGTCAATATAACTATTGTGATGTGGTATCAAATGGAAAAAAATTAATGGAACTACATGTATGTACAATATATTTAGCTTATAAAAAGTGGAAAAAAGAGAAAAGTATGAAATTTGAACGAAACTATATATACAATTTATTTTTCAAAATCTATATTAAGTGACGATTGTGTTTTTAACTCTGATATTAAGTTAAGTTGTATGAATAAAATTTCAAACTGGAACAACATTGATATAAAAAATAATTAAAAATAAAGTATTTTTGTTTGAACTTTTGGAGTTATCCTTAAATGTCAAGATGGTACAGTGTCCAAATATGATGGTCACCAACGTGAAACAATGTTTGGTTTTATTACTCATTTTTTAATTTTTCTTGCGTTGGTGGCTGCAGTTGGTGATTTACTATCTCGGTAATAAATTTACCGTTTTGGACAATGTGAAGTCAACATTTTCTAGCAACAGAAGTTTTTCTGTTTGTTCATCTATGTTGTTTCGGTATTGGAAATGTCCTCGTTTAGGTAGACGTTGAGTGTGGCATGGTTTGCCACAACGTTGAATTGCTTCTCTTCCTTTTCCGGTTGAAAGGTTGTGCTCATGTCAACGTAATAGTTTTTAACGAGCATTGCTCTGTTGCAGGCTGTGCAACGAACCATAACTTTAGATTCTGTGTTTCCTGTGATTTTGCTCTTACATCCTTTGGTGTTGCACATTGCTTTAGTGTCAATGATGACATTTTGTATTTCTGGGCAGCAGATTTGAGGCTTGATAGCAGTTGCATCTGTATTTACATTGGTAATATTTTGCTTCTCGGCTGGTTTTATGATGGTTTCTGTGGTGGTGCTGATTTTCAACCCATAGTAGTACTTTACAGTGCAGTTGGAGATCTCAAAGAAATCCCCTTCCTTGATCAGAGAAATGTGGTCTGACCAAATTGAAATATCTATAGTTTCTGTGTTGAAAAGGAGTTCTGTGAATTCATTTCGCGCAGTTAGTGTTGACAAATAAGGTAAAAATAGAAAGGATGATATCTCAAGGAAACTATCCAACGCACAAGAGTATCTCTAAAGTGGCTTTTCTGACTGAAGCACGCATTACAATCTCTTGGCAAAAACGAGGGGCAATGTTGTTGTAAATATACCTAAAGCGGTTCCCTTAGTTCTCTCAACAATCTGTCATTTCCTTGTGACTCAATGTATCTTGCACATGTGTTGAAAAGGAGTTCTGTGAATTGTGCTGCGAGTCCTTCGCGCCCAATAACAGACTTGCCTCTGAAAAATCCCAGAAGTTGCCGAGTCTTTCGGCTTTGTGCAATAAGCTTGATTTGCGGCTGAGAAATCGGAGTTAACCGAGTCTTTTGGTCAAAATGCTAAACTTAAACAGTCTTCTGAGCATCGGTGAAATTATTTCTGTATTAACTTCTGTATAACACAAATGAAACTCTATAACTCTGAGAATAATCCAACATCAAAACAAATGAGTTAGAAGCTCAACTTTTTCATGTATTTGATATCTGGTTATACTTTAATTATGCTGCAAGTTCTTTGCTTTAAGTTCTCACGTTAGCTGACTGAGCTGTGGACCCTCCGCCGCCTTCGATCGAGACTTCACACAACTGTTTCTCTTTTGACGGATTTTGATCACCTTTTAAACTCAAAACTACCTTTAATTGTTAGAAAGATGCTATACACACTTACCGTTGGACTTGGAAACGCTTCTCGACGCTTTTCAGGGACGCTAAACTCGAAATCTCGACAAGGACAAAGCTTGTATCAAAGACGCCGATCCCAATAGTACTCGCGCGCGTTTTTGCTGGCCGCCCATGACCATTTGCGGGAAAAACGTTGATACCTTGCGGCCGTGCAAGCGATCAAATCGAGATTTTTTCTGGTTATGATCTACCGAAAATACCTACATTCTCTCTTCTCCAGTCTTCCTCTATATTACGCGGGGAGTCCTAGGGTGCCTCCTCGGGTTTTTGGCCCTCTGGGGCCAAAAACCCTGCGGTGGCAATTAGCATCGGTATGAATGAGCACATGACCAATCATAACTAAGTAAACATCGAACATTCTGCAGGAGTAGGGAACACTTCTCCGACTACGGATGTCTAACGCACGAAATCTGTAATTACACCGGCAAGGTTTCGTTAAGTTTTTCGCTATGAACATAAGCGAAAAAGTCTCCTCGAACAAACTTGGGAAGAAAATGTAGTGAGTGAGCATTCGGTAGACTGACCTTGGAAGATTAAACATCTCTTGACGGGAAATGAACACAAGAACTTTCACGAGAATCTTACAAGTGAACAAAAACGGGCTCAATGCCTATGATTTAAGACATTTAACAGTTAATCTTCGAGCACGTGAACTAAAGTTGATATTCAACCTGCAAAGTTCACCAATGGGGGTATTGTTCAACATCTGCACTCTAATAAAGTCAGGTAGCAAACAGTCACGCGCAAATCCGAAGAATCTTCGCGACGTACATCTTTGCCTGTGTCATATACTCCATCTGTCGGTCCTTCTCGCCTTAGGATCTTCAGACCGCTGATACATAAGGAAGGGAATTGGTTTGAGTTACTACATGAAAGGCGCACGGAACCCGCCCCCCTTGATGACTTCCAGGAAGGTCTACGCGCTGTATCAAGAATTCATTCCAGTTACTAAGACGAACCTTGACAACTTGTCATATCTCTAACGACCGGGCTTGAGTGTACGTTTGCAATCTGAATAGTAAACCTAAAGTAAGAGATCCTTATTGTAAGTTTAATGTACGAAGTAAAAATAATGGTCACATTTAATTACTTCTTTTTTTTATTACTTGTCTATGCATTTGTTTCTCAATTTTTAATGGAGTAACAAGTTTAAAACAAATTCCCTTTTGTACTGAAAAAGATGCACATAATATTGTTCAAGCTTTTTCAAGTCTAAGGGCTTTCACACTGGTTAAATTTCGTTTTTCTTGTACTAAATCTAAGCATACAAATAAAATCGATTGAGTGGCTCTAAAACTGATCCGAAAAACTTTCTAACGCGAAAAAAAATAAAATAACACAAAAAATTCAATCTGCTGACAGCTAAAAATGACCTAAAAGAAAGATTCCCGGGACGCAACTTCACACTCAAATCCTTGATATTAAAACTTTTAAGTCCACAATCAGAGTTTAGCTAAATGCATACGTTTCAAAACTTCGGCGATCTAAAGACGTCTCCTGGATACACTTGACAGGACTACAACAAGTTATTCTTTGACACATGCACGATCAAAGCTGAGAGAAAAAGAAGCATCATTGGACGGCTTACAGGCAATCCGCTTCCCTGTACTGAAAAAATGAGAAAGATTGAAAGATAGATGTAAAGACAATGTACAAATCATTTATTTTCATGGTTAGTTGACTAGATAGAGGAAAAACGTTTGCTGTCTTAAAAAAACAAATTAAAATAAATTCAAAGCAAACAAACAAACAGAAAAACTCAAACATATTGTCCTGCGGCGATCATGTCAAGTTGTAAAACACTGAGATTATCTACTATGAGTTGAATGAGCTCTACTTTCCAAAAGAAAAGATGTAAAAGAACTACGTGCCGCGTTACTAAAGACAGACGTAAAAAAAAACTCATCGATATAACACACCTGCTTTAAAAGAAGCTTGGAATCCCTTGTTTACAGTAGTGGAGTTTCTGTCACTCATGAACTGAACCCAAACCATGTTCCCTTGACTCAGTATCGAGTTTGGCTTTGTATTTCCACACAGGCGTCCTGTCAGGATTGGACCAAAATGGCCATATATTCTTTTAGGATCACCAACTATGATAGATGCTTCACGGAACTCAACATAATCGTTTCTGCAGCCCTCACTGTCTTCCAGTTCAAATATGTCGAATTCTATTCGGACCTTCCGTCCCTCAGGGACGATTAAAATCCACTGTTCTGCGTAATTTGAGGGGTAGTTCTCAATGTCGACTTTTGGTGTGCCAAACTCAATAGTTTCATCTTCGGTTGCATTCAGATAGTTTGCTTCACCCTCTGCAAAGTGAAAGTAGTCTGTTACCACATGAGAATTTAACGAAATCAGTAAAGGTTACATATTTGATGAAAACAAAGTATTTTACAGCAATGTTCTTAAAACGGAATCCTTGAAAATATGCTCCATTCAACACGCCCTTAGTCTCAATGAAGACTCGCTCATGTTTATTTACTTGCCGACTAACTTAGCCATCAAATCTTGCTAGTAATAAAATGGATGAAGATTATATAGTACATTACCATTAAAATGCATATGGCAGAGGGGCGAGTCTTCCGGGGACTAGGGACGTGTGATTTGCATCATCCCAGGTGACATTTTGTCGTTGTATAATAGTTTATCAGGAAAGTTACTCCAAGGCTTTTCTTTCACTACCTCAATATCAAAATATTTTGTGTTTTTCCTGCTTTCTTGTTGGATGTATGGCCTTTTGTTCGTTTTCTCGTTTTTTGTTTGCTCGGCTATTACCTACCTCTCCTGGACGCGGCTATAAAGGTAACATTAAATCCTGTGTAATGTACTGTGTCATCCGACACGAAACGAAGGTAGATCGTTGGTGCAGAAATATCCTCAAAAATTCCCGCTTCCCAATCGACGTTGAAGGCATATCCCTGTAAGTAGTTGTAACTATATCGTCCACAAAATTTTCGCGGGTGTAAATCACTGTAGGAAGACCTCATTTGAAGAGAGTCACATTTACATTCAGAGCACATTTCTACGTCAAGCCTGGGAAAAAATATCACAAACTAATATCATTGGCTTTCATTTCTTGCCAAGATTAATGTCCTGGAGAGGACAAATCTATACTTCGATTACTTTGAACCAAGAGATTATTAACTCTTGTTTGAATATATTTACTTACAGGACTGATTTTATGAGTTGTTATGGAATGTTTTTGTGAAATCGAGATGAAGTCGAGGGTAAATCTGAGCCGCAGAGGTTTGCATGTTACCAAGAGATAGTAAAATTATCATGGGTCACGGGGAAAACGTCTCAGTTTTTAATTTCTTGATTTTACTGTAGAGCGTCGACACAGGAAACATACCTTGAAAAACGATATATGATGTAGTCAGAGATGTCTGGAACTTTAATTCGCCAACATTTGGTCTCATTCACACCATAATTACCTGACTCAGGGTACACAAGCGTTCTTATGGAGCCTGTGATGTTCGTTATTCCATTGGGACAAACTATTGGGAGAAAAAAATAGTAAGCGTAAATGCTGACTTCATTCCCATCTAAATTGTCTTTCACTAATCTGCAGTATATGCTGACTAAGCATGGATAGCCTGAGTTGAATTTTGTTTGTGAATAAGCCATTTCAGTAGTAACTTTTAAAAACTTTTTCTGTTTGGTTGCAAATTCGGTATTGTTTACAATGTGGCAACAGTAGTAGAACTTGCACTATATTTTACAATGCGAGAAAAACTCCTAGGATGGATTCTCCTCAATCGAACTTGTCCTTCGTTGAGTGGCAAGTTGCTAATTTTCCCAAAATGGAGATTATTTGCAAAATATCACTGATACATTCGAATCCGAATGACTCGAACCCTCGCTGACTCGAACTAGGGTGAACTAGAGCCAGAGCGGAAATTCCTCAGCGAAGCCCTATACTTAAGGAAATCTGTTATCTTATTAATCGAATGAAAATTTGGTTTTGTAGTCATGACTAAAGCTCGTTCCGTCTGTCCATAACTCCACTCAAAAAACTTACTTTCCGCCCGCACGATAAACTGCACTTTAGGCTCAGGTCAAGGCATTACATATTTGGGCGAGTAAATAGGAAGCCAAGAAAAGAGAATGCATATGCACGAGAACAGGAGAAATCATGCGCAAGCTCATTACTTGTCTCGCTTATCATCAAGTTATAAAGCTACCCGGTGAAGAACAAAGCTGGAAAGCGCATGTCTCATATTGTCAGCTTCAGTTTCATGAACTACTTTGTGTCCCTAATATAATTATTGACTCTTTTGATTTACTGCAATGAAAACTTTGCGAATGGCGGATCTTTAAATAACGGCTCCATATTAGCCCTATTTCTGAAAATCGATGTGCTCCATTTTCTTAGGATACTTCATCACTATACCGTGCAAATTTTGGCAGCATTGTTAAGAGAAGTGTAAGACCTTAAACAGAAATCATATTTTGACATATTTCCATTGGTCTAACTGACTCTGTTTGAGCGACATCTCAAATGCTAAAATTTCGTATGACTGTCAGCAAAGGAGAAATTTGAATGCGTGTATTGTCCAGCACGCATAGAATTTTAAACATTATTTTTTTTACTTCAAATGTAGATGGTAAAGCACTTGTGCAGGTGATTTCAGTTTTTGACTTAAATAGTTTAAGCCTTGAAATTTAATATTATGCTATCAGTTGAATAGATTTATTCTGAATTAGTAGATTATACAGCAATTTATGTGTTTGTTGTCTTTGAAACTCACTTGAATCGCAGTGTCCTTTGTTGAAGAATAATGTTAAAACTGAAAAAAAAAATCCATGAGTTACTAGGCTGAACTGGAGAAGGTAAGAGGTGGACTGCTTTCCATCTGTACGTTTTTATGACACAGCAACAACATAGGAGAGAAGCAAGAGATAACAATGGGACATATTTCCTCCTGACGAGAAGGGGTTGGGACGAGACAGGATTTTGACCACGAGATGAAATGAAATCCAAGATGAAACAGAAATAAATTCGAAACTTAAAGTTCTTTGCATTACAAACATTTTCATTAAGCGTGGAGCTTAAAAAGGTCGGCGTCTACGAAGTAATCACCACAAAACCGTAATTTCTAGGCTACACTGTGTCTCGATGTTTCAAAATCAAGCTTCCCTTTCTATCATTGATGTCATCAGACGATGAACTTTCATGCATTGGATTCGGTTTATTATGTCCAGCTTATCAAAATAAAATGAGCAAAACAATTGTATTTAATATTATCAGAATTACGAATAGACTCCTTGCCATGCTAAACGCAGTCTTGCAAGCTTGAGAAGGCGTTCGTCAGGTTAATCTATAAACGAGCTGTTTGATCCGTGTCACAGCAACATAAAGATTTACATCTTAAAGAATGTGAAATAAATTAAACTCAAAAGAAGCGCAAACTACTTAAACTTAAATTGCAAGCGAAAAAAGTGATGCAATTGCATCGCCTTTTCGAACAACGCGGATATCTGACAACTTACCAGTGATGGAAGCAGCTGTAAACAGCTGGTTAGATGTGAATACACCCATTCTTCAACACAGTTAAGTTCTTTTTGTTGATAACGGTAAAAGATCAGGATATACTGAGGTTAGAATAACAAATGACCGCACTGTTGGTAAAATTATAGCAACCCTTTTATACCTGATATGTTTCCCAACACAATTTCGTCTTGAAGGGTCACGGTATTAGGTCAGTTTGCTGTAACAAAGCTGTACAAATCGCGCATAGTTCAAATGTTTGGATTCGCACACATAACATTCGTTCCCTTTTCCTTTGATAATTGCCTCAGGTTAGAAGGCAATTTTCGCATCGGTGAGTTTATAATCAGAGGGTAAAGTCTAATTCAAAGAGAAACACCTATGGTGTACGAGGTGAATGAAATGCAGAGTTTTTTAGCCCCTTATAACGACAACAGCTGGAAATAAGCTTTGCTCAATATATAAACAATTTGACAGTCTAGAACATTCCACAGTGTCAGTATGAATAAGCACAGGACCAATCATAACTCGGTAAACAACGGAACATTTTGTAGTATTCTATAAAACACCTCTCCGGCTACAGATGTCTAACGCACAAAATCTTTAATTACACCGGCAAGGTTTAGTTAAGTTGTTCTATGAACAAAAGTGAAAAAGTCTTGTCGAACAAACTTGGGAAGAAAACTTAACGAGGCCATGATATTTTATTTCGAGCCCTTCGCAATATTCCTAACAAGTGTCCTTGTCTTGTCCTCTTCGTTAGCCAATTTCGTCCGCATTGTAAACATAACGAGATCAAAGAACGGATGCGAGTGGACATCAATTAGTTTTCAATTGATCGAATTTGTCTGTTTTTTAAGGCCCCGTCCAATTTCTTGAAAAAAAAAAATGGAAACAGAGCTTGCGTCACTTGTTGTTACTCTTTACCGAAAGCTATCTTTGAGTCTTCACCTCCCTTTCAGTTTTTCCATGATCTTTGTGTCTGAACCAACTATTACTGCTTCTGTTTCTGCTCGTTTCCACCGAAGCCGACTTCGATGTACGGCTGGTTCACCTTCATTTGCATTTCCTCGTTGACAAATCTGCTAGCTCAGGCAAACGCTTCTATATAACTAGTAGGGATGAGTGAGCATGCAGTTAACTGACGTTGGAAGATTGAACATTTCTTGACGGGAAATAAACACAAGAACTTTCACGAGAATCTTACAAATGAACAAAAACGAGTTCATTGCCTATGATTTAAGACATTCGACAGCTTATCTTCGAGCACGTGAACTTAAGTTGAAATTCAACTTACAAAGTTCACCAATGAAGGATGTTGTTCGACAACTGGACTCTAATAAATTCAGGTAGCAAATAGTACACATCATGGAGTCCCCCCCATTTCCTTTTCAAGGATATTTTGTTCAAGCTCCAATCATTCAGGTATGCAAACACGCGCAATTCCGAAGAATCTTCGCGAAGTAAATCTTTGCCTGTGTTATATACTCCATCTGTCGGTTTTCTCAGATTTTCAGCCCGCTGATACGTAAAGAAGAGCAGTGGTTTGAGTCATTACATGAAGGCGCACGGAAGTTCGAAACAGTGACCCGCCACTCTTTAATGACTTCTAGAAAGGTCTACCTACTATATCAAGAATTCATTCCAGTTACCAAGACGAACCGTGACACCTTGTCATATTTCTGACGACCGGGCTTGAGTGTGCGTTTGCAACCTGAATAGTAAACCCAAAATAAGCGATCCTTATAGTAAGTTCAATGTACGAAGTAAAAATAATGCTCACATGTTATTACTTCTATCTTTTATTACTTGTCAATGCATTTGTTTCTCTATTTTTAATGGAGTAACAAGTTTTAAGCAAGTTCCTTTTTTTACTGAAAAAAAAAAAATAGAAAAAATACTGAGAGGAACCTCATCTACCTTAAGCTTACGAGCTAAAAATTTTAATTCTAGTTAAAAACCAGTTTTGAATTTCATTCCTGACTCTTCAAGACGTTCGTAACAAAGCTTATTTTGCTTTTTTCTGACCTTCTCAGGAAATCAATAAACTGGCCAACCTACGAGGACTAAATTCAGAGACTTTTATGTTAAATTCCATACGGTAGTCATGCAACACAAAGACTATTTTAAAGGCCATATTTTGAAATAGGGAGACCTGACAAGGCAAGATGGAACACAGGAGTTGTCTATGAATGACTTTTGGGCTACTGGGATTGGAAATTGGAAACAAAACAAAAGAATGGGGCTGGGATCGACATAAAAAAGCCTAGAAGTTTAATATGGGCAAAGTCTGGGTGAGGAAATGGAATTTAGAACTCACCCCTTTTTTTTAAGGACCTTCGTTTTACCGTGCCTGAGCAGAATTGTGTTAGTTTTTAAAACTAGACACATTTAGCTACCTCTTTCTGAGCGAAAGTTCCCGCTGTCGGCTCAAAAAGGGTCACATTTTTCAAAACTCAAAAAAGTCTTGTTACAGTCTAAGGCACCTCTGTTTCGAGGCTGCAAGTGATACCGCATCTAATTCTGTTTAATCGTTACTTTCTACTATCTAGGGTTATCACTACTTGCTCTCGGATCCACATAGGGCGGCTATCCGCTTGCTTTTCGACGTCGTCCTTCTCGTTTTAGATCATCATGACAACCACAGCCAACAGTAAACAAACGAGGAAACTGCTTCCCGCAGTCAGGTCCCCAGCGCTTGGATCAATGGAGCTTGGAGTTGTTGGTTTCAATGATTCGTCTATCAAACAAGATGTTTTAATGTAACATATAATTTTTTCCTTAGCACAATTTAACATATAATTTACGCAAGTGAAGCGTAAATGTGTAAAAGTGTAAGTCAGTTTACTTTTGAATGACCGTTTAACAGTCAAGTACTGATTCCGTGACAGAAGATGCAAAACTTCAAACAAACTAGATAAATATCTTCACGTTTCAATCTAACTTAAATTTTGTTAAACAAGAAGTTGTTAAGGGCGGCTAACAAAGGCTTTCAACAGAATCTAAAAGAAATGAGACATACCATAAACAGTATAAAGCGTTTGCATTCCACCGACCATGTGATCGTTCACGTGACAATGAAGCAACCAGACCCCTACACTATCAGGAATCATCTCCACGGTAGCAAAGACTCCTGGGAAGAGATCGTAAACATCTTCGCGGTGATAGCCGACATGTTTCTGTTGAAAAATATTTGAATTGGTAAAATTTGAAGAAATGTTCGTAAGAAGAGTTTCCATAGAAAAGTGCCTTCTCTTCCAAAAATTTACATGCCAATTGATGAACTAGGAGACTATTCAAAGGCTAAATTTGCTTATGAGTCAAACAAGTTTTTCATCTGTCACGTGAGTGCAGGGTTATCAGTAACGTTTTCCATAAGTGGCTGCAGGTGGTGTAATACGCGGCTGTTCCCAGAAAAGGTGCCGTGAGGCCCCTTTCCTATATGGAGGTTTGGAAGCGTGCTCCCCAAGAAAAGTCGGAAACCTCGGGAATGTAATTTCTAGTATTGTGGGTATAAAAAAGAGTGCTGGTTGCTCAACAGGTGGTAGTAAAAGGTCTTAAGATGGTAAAAATCTGGTAACCAGATTTAGTTGAAAACTCTGGTGTGGGTCAGAGAAGAAGGACTAAATCTGAGTTCCCCACTAATGCGAATGAGCTCTACTTTACAATTTTTTTTCTAGCATGAGCCGTTGAAGGAAACAGCACAGAAATTTTACTTACAAGAGAACCTATACGTCAAAACTTGTTAGAGCTATAGTTAGTGAAGCGCACCGGTTATGGAACCCAGCAGAATTTTTTGCTGTCTTTGTCAGGTGTTTTGGAATTGATCGCGCAAAATATTCGATAGCATTCCAATCATGTTAAAATGGCTGAGAAATGGAAACATCAAATTGATTAACTAATTTCTAATTGTATGAATGAACACAAAAACGAAAAGGGTCTAGAGGCTACCGACATAAACCTCAACACCGTTGTGATTTTGGTTTTCGCTTGCAATTGCCAGAACCATTCAGCTCTATAAACCATGCTTAGACCTACATTTAAACAAGAATATAGGTGGCTACTATTATCTTTAGGCCAGGATATATCAGTTATTTTGGTATAAATTTCATGGTCACTTACACGTAAAAATGTTTGACCGTGGAAATGGACTGTATGCATGTCGACCTCGTTACCCATACCAAGTAGGTACCAGTCCACTTTCTCATTCTGATACATCTTAAAACCGTCCGCGTTGGCAAACACAAAACCATTCACCCCGTGCATCTTGTTACTCTCCTGGAAATCCTCGTTATCTTTGAGCTGATCTTTGTTTCCGGGATTCTTGCAATATGTGTCAATGTTTTCGTCCAAATACCAACTCTCGTTTTCATCAAGGACGGTGAACAACAACGCAAACTCGTGATCTACATCGCTTCTGGAATTTGTTGCTGTTAACGTGTCCTGAATTTTTTTTCACAAAAAAACAATAGTCGTTTGATCAAAGTTAAAACTGAGTGGAATCTCCCCCTTGTTACCTAAACACTAGCAAAGATATGACCTGAAGAATGAATGATACGCCCCTATTTGAGAAAGAAAACATGGTCAACTAAGAGAGGCCTTCGAGGTCTTAATGACCCGACAGCTCAGTAGTTCAGTTTGTGAAGTGTTGTACCGTTTGCACGCTACTTGCCCAAACATCAGCAGCGAATACAAAATAACTAAAGGACAAATTTGAACGAAAATGCATGTACATCGATAAGTCGGGCCAAAAGTTGGCGCGATTCTGTAGATTTGCATACCATTTTAACCCCTCACCACCACCCCCCCTCCTTTCCGTCCCTATTTTTTTTAAGATTGACAGAGTTCTATGCGAAGAATAATGGCCAAACTTACCTTTTTGCATATGACCAGCGGTCCCACCAATCCACTGTTTGTGTCCTTTATAGGATCGACGTCAGAGTAATAAGCCCATGTGACACAGGTTGGACCATTTGGTCCAGGACCCGCGCGTTCAGGAACTTGCCATTTGTAGATGAAGATTTTGCCGGGATTAATTGCGTTGTCGATTTTGTCACCTGGTGATGTCTCATCATCATAATTTGAACCCTCGTTTTTTTTCCTGCGAGGTTCATGAAAGAAATTAAATTTTAATGCCATCTGATTTCTCAGTTACCCTAAAGAAAATAATCCGGTCAAGGCTAAAACCCAGGACTTCTCGAACTGAAATGCAGCGTACTAATACTACTTCCCCTCAACAACTTCATCACAAGCTAGTGTTTTGACTTACGTGTAATACAGTCCATGTGGATGCATGGAGAACTTCCTGCTGGCCATATTCTTAAAGGTCACCTCGATTGTATCTCCAACTTCGGCGTGTAACATGGGACCCAGTACCCCGAGGTGCTTCTCAGCCTCGGTCCTCGTTTTCTGTCGGGTAAACTGGGCACTGGTGTATTCGCGGTATAAAACTTTCTTGTACTTACGACCAATTCGATTGGCGCTATTGACAGTGAATGTAGCAGCCTCTCTGTGGACAAAGGAGAGAAAAACATATGGCCATACAAAACACTGCTCATAGGAGTTATATAAAACTGAAATGTAGAAAAACCATTCATTTTCACGTTCAATCTCCTCTTTGTATTTAACCTCCTAACCCCACAGATTCGTTTAGTTTTTCCTCATTAAAGCAGCGATAAATTGGGCGGTGTTACATGAATCCATTGGCATTCGCTAGATGTTTTAAGTATCTAATTTCATCACCTCTTTGCTGGTGAATGTACTGAATTTGCGAGGAGAAGATGAATGTTAATCGCTTTGGGAGTTTCAAGATATACACTGAATTGATATAATAAAATACTTGTCATGAAGTCAAATATCAGTTGTTTACCTTTTTAGCGGTGTTTGGGATAGAAAGATACTCTATAAGGCACAAGCTATCAAACTAAAATAAAACTGTGCCTCTAAACTTAACCAATAGAATCAAAGTGGGCAGTCAGGATAGAAATTGGCGAAAGACCCCCAGTCGTATTTTAAAGTGATTTCGACCTTGTTGAGAATAGATCCATCTCTAGCGTCGAGAGTAAAAAATCAGATTAGTGACAAAAAAGGCCACAACGAAAAAGCGGATAGAATCCGTGAGGTTGCGCTCATCTGGGACCTCGAGAGGAGGGTTTAATGATTACTGTGTTGCGTGACAAGCGCAACAGATAACACTGTACAGTGCACTACATGACAGCGTATACTAACTCGCTATCTTTCAGCGGTTTTCCTTCCAACACGTCTCTTCCAGTGGGCGCGTAGTCCCACTCCTCCTCAACTGCTGCCACATAGTATCGTCGAACAGTCCCAGGAGGCTTTGTGGTGGGCACTTTACCGCAAGGTTTCACCTTATATTTCGCCTGCATGCCAGCTGAATAGTGGTCGTTGGTCCTACAAACTATCGCCCATTCTCCTGGGTTATCAGGAGTCATTTGTAGTGTAGAAAACACCCCTTGAAAAAGAACAAAAAAACTTGCACCATACTCCCGGTCGCGAACCCTTTCAAATTTGTGAATATCGTTTCCCATTTAAACATAAAATCTGATCCACTAAGTTAAAATAGGTTTGGTAACTTTCTCTCATCCTTCCACCGCCTCGATTAGTTGCGTTTATGCGGAGAAAAGTATTTTACAATTGGTGGAAATCGATTCTTTTTTTAATTTATTTCATTCTGACTGTTGTTGATTGTTTCCAAAATTCTCCGCACAGTAAAAGAAATTCGTTCAGCGAGGATTAGTAAAGAAAAAAAGACAGTAAAGGAAAACTAAAGCAAGTACGTCGACTAGTGCATAAACGAGAGGAGATTGGTGAAGACCTCTTACGACCTCTCACCTCAGTTCCATTCTTCGCCCCACAGATATTTTGCTGGGGGCAAAAACTAACCGATACTCCGCGGGGGGTGGGTGGGTATAACAAAGAAATCTGCTCACGTCGAGGTGTGGCAAGGTTAAAACCAAACATATAGAAGGCACCTAAATTGCAGATAGAAACCAACTTCACAAGTAAACACCGATTTATCACAGTTTGGTTTCATCGTTTTCCGTGCCCACTGCAGAAAATTAAACTAAAAGAAAGCAGACGGGCATCGCTTTCCTTCTTTCTCTCTGCTTCATTACCTGGCAGGAGGCTGACTGTATCCTTCATCTGACCGTTTTCAGAAAAAGTATTTCCGTAAAAGTAAGCTGTGTGCATGTCTACTTCATTTCCGAGGCCGATCAAGTGCCAAGACACTTTGTCCCCAAGACAGACTTCTAGATCAGGAAGGTTAGCGTATAGATATCCATTGATACCATGCATCAGGTTGCTTTCAAGGTAATCTTCATCCTCTGCAAGAGCCAAGCAGAATATATAATTTGAGATGAGGAATTCCGACGAGCCACATTTAAAAGCTATCAAATTCGGGCAGAAAAGCTGCATGAATTCATGTCCGTCTACTTATCTGCCTCACTGCTAGTCTACTGCTGGTTTTTTCCTCCCTTTTTGACTGCCCGCCTATTTTTCTGTCTATCTGTGATTCCGTCTGCTTGTTTGTCTAGATCTCCCTGTAGTGTTTGTTTTATTGTTGGTGCGTGTTCTACATAATGGCCCGGGAAGCCTTTCCAGTCTGAGAGACGCAGACTTTGGGACAGATCGAAAATATTATAAGTTGAACTATGTTATAGAATTTTGCGCTGCCATTATGTTCACGGAATAGGAAGTCTAAACAAACATTGCGAAAAGAAAGAAAGCAAAAGAAAATAAAAAGAATCACTTATGTCCGAAGCAATCAAGCCTAAGACCACTGATATCGATGAGGATCTCAGCCAATTACTGACGATCTCGGCGAATAACTAAAGATTAAAAGCGACCACAACTAGCGATTGATCATCGCTGTCAATCAAGGTCGATATTGGAAGATAACTGACGTCATTGACGATCAAAGTCGATCAGTAACGAGCTCTGACGATCACTGACGATTCTCGGTGATCCTCCGACTATAATATTCTCCGTACCATCGTTAATTTTGCTAGGATCATTCGCTCTCTTCTTGTTCTCCTCATGATACCAAGAGGCGCTTTCGTCGGTTACAGTAAACAGCAGCACGAATTCATGGTCGATGTTCTTTTGTGTGTTGTCGTCCTTCAATGATCCGTTTTTACAAGTCAGCAGTGGACCAAAAAGACCTTGAAAGCAACAACAACAAATCAATATTTACTAACAAATCAAAAATGTTTTAAAGAGTCTGATTCCAAGTGATCCCTGAAAATTAAACAATTTATCATTAAGTATTATCAACTGGGTTGATAACGTAAATTGGCCACCGTAAAGAGTTTAAAAGCTGACGTTTCGAGGTTAGCCCTTCGTCTATCGCTCTGACTAAGGGCTAACGCCCGAAACATCAGCTTTAAAACTCTTTACGGTGGCCAATTTACGCTATCAACTCAGTTGACAATACTTAATTACCCTGTTATACTCTCCCACCGACGCAGCACCACATTATATTTAGAAACTTACCCCCTTTATTCATTGATTTGTAGACACGTTCGTCTTCAAAATTTCTAAAACACAGTTGACGTTCATTTTCAGTTTACCTAAGTTCCAGGGTACTCAATACACACTCACCAGAATAAGTGTCTTTAACTGGATCCACACTGGAATAGTACAACCACGTGATGCACTGAGAGTCACTCATACTTGGACCCACTTCCTTGGGCACAGTCCACCGGTAAGTATACTTCTGACCTGGTCGCACAATATCGTCCGCCTTTTGAGCCCCGGATGTTCTATCTTGGTACAAGGCTCCCTCATTTGACTTGTTGAAGAAAACTCCATGCGGCTGAATACTGTAGTTGTGATTTGCCTATCCAAAGAGCAAAACTAACTAAGAAACAATGGCGAAAGGTAGGTAAACATTACAATTCTTTTTTATCTCAATGCGGGACAAAAAAACTTGGGAAGACTCAGGGTTTTATTCCAGCATAGAGAAATTTTTCCTCAACCCACAGATGATTCGCGCAGACGAGGGTCGAGAGAAAGCTGGGGGGTAATGGCCCACGAACACATTGCAAGACGTCTTCGTTCGCGAACAATACTCGAGATCACATTTTTCCTATGTAACGTTTATCCTGTGACTGGAGGTAGGGGTTTTTTTTCGGGTGGGGGAAGGATGGGATTTACCCTACTTAAAGCACTATGCAATTGAGCCTTTCCTTCATTGGGCTCTGTGATTATTCAATCAACAAAACCTGCGCCATTCTCTCCACCAATCCAACTTCGACTTGAACTTAATCCAATTGTAACTTGATCTCTTGCACCCTCATTTCAAATTGGCATGGTTTTGGTTTAAAAGCGAAAAGCGTTTAGTTCCCCGAAAGTTGTTAGTTTTGCCACAAAAGTCAAGAAAGGCTTTAGAAAGAAATCACATCCCAGCTTTCTTACATTGTTCTTAAACACGACCTCGATCACATCACCAACTTCTGCCCGGATCACAGGCCCAAGAAACCCGAGATGTTTCGGTTTTTCCTTCTTCACGGAAAAAGTACTGTCGGTATACTCCTCATAGGACGCCTTAGTGTACGTTCCACCGATTCTGTCAACACCTTGAGCAAAGAACACAGCTGAGCCGCTGACAAAAGAACGAAAATGATATGCGTTACTATCAACAGTGGTCGTAGTGGGTCACACAGTTGCTGAAAAAAACAGCTTTACATAAGGAAAGAATTAAATGAAAGGGGATAAATATTAAGAGAAGACTGGAAGCTACAGTTGAGTGTAAACAAAAAGTACATTCTTAATAAAGACAAACTCAGAAGAGAGAGAAAACTTTTTCTCAGCTTACATATAAAACAGTAGAACTATTGTAGTCAACTCCTTCGAACAACCTACATGTTTCAGTGCCAAACAGTTCTATGGTATAATTTCATTTGTATGCAACAGTTTCAAGTAAGTATATATGCTATCGTAGATGAATGTATGCATTTCTTGGAACAACGTTCATATTCCAGTGCGAAACAGTTCTATGATATATTTTTATTTGTATGCCACAGTTTCAAGTAAGTATGTACGCCATCCTAGATGTATGAATGCATTTCTTGGAACAACGTTCATATTTCAGTACGAAACAGTTCTATGATGTACTTTCATTTGTACGCCATAGTTTCAAGTAAATATTCTATCGTACGTGTATGTATATATTTAATCAAGGTTTGGAGAACCTTCGGAGATAACATTCATATGAGGATATCTCTTAAAAGACCAATTACTAATCGAGTGTCGAAAGTAATCCGGAAATGAAATGGTTTTGCTTTAGTCCGCTCCCACTCTGTCAATTACTCTTACTTTTTGATTGGTTCAGAAAACTCGCGCCTCCCTCAAGCTCGACCAATCAGGTGCAACACGAAAACCAATTACGATTTGATCACTCGCCCTTCCCGCGCTTGTTTCTGCCCTAAGCTCTCATTGGCTTCTTATGATATTTTACCTTTGTTCTAATTGGCCACGGTATTTTCTCTGTTTTACGTCAAACGCCATTCAATCGAAAAATCCTATTCACGTATCCCAATAAACTAAAATCTAGTCCCTTTGTTGGTTTAAAGGTAATAAAATCTCTGCCTTTATATAGTGTAAAAAATCCAGTTACGAAAAAAGAGGCTAGAGTCCAAACTCCATAGAAAATATGTATTAAACTTGTTAAATAAACCACCACGTTTTGCTAAAATAAAAACTCCGAAACTTCTTAAAATTCCAAATAAAGGAGTAACAGATTTACGCGAACGAAAGCTCAAAAAAAAAAATTACTAGAACTCCGCGAAAACAAGCTAAAAGTACGCGAAAAATGTCGACGTCGGTTTCCCAATGTCAAGGTTAGAGTTCTTTGACGTGATTGGCTAATTTGTGAATTCACGCGCGCCGCGCGTGAATACAAAAAGAATACAAAAGGGGGAGAAGAAGAGAAAATTTGTTACTTGAAATTTGAAAAGGGAAGAGATTTTCTACATATAGGCAGTTTACCTATCGGGCTTAGTCAAACTCTGGCCATCCATGTTGTTCATCCCAGTTGGCCCATAATTCCACGGTACCTCGTTTGCTGCGATGTAGTACCTCCTCGTTTTCCCGCCACGCACCGTTGGCACGTAATCACTCTTACCAGCACACTTCGTGACGTTGTACAAAGCATACATACCAGCGTTATAATGATCGTTGACGAGGCAATTCAACATCCACGTTCCGGGATTCAGTGCCTTCATAGTTGCCGTCACGAAAGTTGCTGGAAGAAGAGAAGCTACATCTTTGCGATGACCATCGATAATGAACGACTGTCCGTGAAAGTAAGCTGCATTTGTGAAAAAAATAATAAACATTAAACAAGAGCCAGGGACAAGCAGGAGAGGCTCTATACCCAAAAAGTGTGGGTCCCAGTCCTAGCCGGGTTTTGGTGTCAGTTGACACTTAATATGGTGAAACCTTATTGTCGTATCAGTCCATTGATGCGACCAAAGCTTCCAGCGGTTTCTGTAGTTTGGAGCGACTAAGAAGTCTAAGAATACTAGTCTATCACAGGTTCCCCAAGGGTTTCAATTGGAGCCGGTTACTGGCGGTCTAAACTCCCTCCCTTCCATAAGACCTCGTCGTCTCTTAAGCCTGCGAGCGAGCAGGAGCCCAGAACGCTGGAAATAACACTTCAGTGCTTTTAGATTTCAATTTGTTTGTGAATGAGCATGTTCCCCGACCCCTCTCCTTTTCCGGGCACACCCCCCATCCCCACTTACACAATCGACAGCCGTTTATGGAAAAAGTTACTGAAAACCCTGGTGACTCCCCTCCCCCACTCACGTAATTCGTCAGGTTCCCCATCTTGTAAATACCGATTTCATGATACTCCTGATTTGAGAAAAGCGATAAAAAGCGAGTTTTTTGCCAAAGAAGTAACACAAAGTCCCACGAGGGCTCGAAAGAGAACGCTGTTTAGTAGGCGAACTATCAAGTGGAGGGGGCCAGCAAAATTCTTTCGACGTCTTAACATAAATATTACTCGAGTGTAGACAAGGTTCGAACCCTTTTACTTAAGCTTCTTGACAAACTCACCAGTGTGAATGTCCACTTCATTTCCAATCCCAGCCAAGTGCCATTTGACAGAATCTCCCAGACAAATCTCCAGGCCGGGCAGATTTCCGTAGAAGTAACCGTTAATGGCATGCATCTTGTTACTCTCTTGAAAATCTTCGTCCTCTGTTTTCACTCCCAAAGGATCACTACAAAACTCGTCGATGTTCTTCTGAAGAAGCCAACTTTCATTTTCATCCAGCACCGTGAAAAGACCAACGAACTCCTTGTCTACTCCTTTGGGTCCATCGTCAGATAAAGCTCCCTTCTTACAAGTCAACATGATTCCTGAAATAATTAAAGTAACAATCCCACGCTTTAGCGAAAGATTCATGAAGCGAAGGCCAGCCCAGAACAAAATCGCGACAGTTTTGTACCTGCTATCCACAATCAACCCACGTCTTTTCAATTTGACGGGGCGAGATCACTAAAGCGGAAATATCGATAGGTGAATAAACTAACAAATGAGTAATCAAACAAAATTTAAAGGAAAAATACGGTCATCGCATAGATAGGCATGCAACGCGTACTAAAGACAGACAACGACATGAATTGACAAAGTTGAATCAATGCTAGTACTTAGGCAATTGCGCAGCTACCCAACATGAACCTTAGCTTGTTATAAGTTGAATGTTGTTAGGCTAGGGGAGGGGTAGTTGCGCAGTTGCTAAGATACTGACATTGATCCACAAAGTTAATGAACGAGAAGACATCATCATCTGACTCACCGTCAAAAATGGTAAAAGACTAGATTTTCTTAATTTCTCGACTAGAACATAATCTTCAATAAGTCAGTTCTATAATTCCTACAGTCCTTCCCGCAAACAATTTTGTTTATTTGCTGGAATTGTTTGGTTGTTTCTCTCGCTAGAGCTTTAAGGCCAGACAAAAAGAAGGAGATATTTCCTTGAAAATGTCTTATTGATTGTCTCTAACACTCTTCGACCTAGCTGCTTAGCCATACATTGTACATTGAGCTATTTATCACATAAGATTACCTAGCAGCCCAGTGTTAATGTCCTTGTGAGGCAACACATGCGAATGATAGATCCACGTGAGACAGTCATCGTCGCTGTCTGTTGGCGCGTGAGCATTCGTTAGCTTCCAACTGTATATGTGACTTCCGCCAGGAGGCACGTGATCATCGTTCTTGTCGCTCCCAGTGGTCTTGTCTTCGTATAAAGCACCTTCAGAGTCTTTCCTGTAGAAGACCCCGTGTGGATGCATCGAAAACTTCCTACTAGCAGTATTCTTGAAGTGGATCTCAATCGTGTCTCCTTCCTCGCCCTTCAATATGGGCCCTAGAAAGCCGAGGTATTGTGGGTGGTCCATCTCCGTGTTGTAGGTACCATCTGTGTATTCACGATAGAGTACCTTGTTGTAAACGCTCCCTATTGTGTGAGCACCTCTTGTGGTGAACACGGCGGCATCACTTCATAATGAAAAAAAAACACAATGGAGTTTGCTTTTCTGGCAAAACTATAATATCCTCTACCACAGAGATTCTTTATGGTGAGGTAGGCCGTTATTACAATCAGCATCAAAATTAATTTATACATCATGTTTAAGAGTTCATTTTATGAGTTGAATGACACTCCTGTTTCTAACACTATCTTTATCATTGAAAAGACCCCCCCCCCTCGGGGTGACGGGGCGAATAGGTTTATTCAAAAAGGGCAAAAGAGATGAAATTGAAGTAGTCGGGTGTTGAAAAGGTCAATGTGTCAACAACTTTGTCGCTGATTGTAGGTTTATGTGTGACAAGCCAAGGGGCGGGTGAAACGGAGGATTTTGCGGGGATCACATGGTTTTCAGGGGGGAACGGAGGGGGGATCAGTCGTCGCCAATTGAATACAGAATGCGGACAAGACAAAATTGAGTACAAATAAGTCGGGATCATAGGAATATCACAGAGCCTTATAAGAGATTCCATTACATTTTATTGCGGCTCAACCAAAATACTCCGACCCACCCCCTCCCCCGGTCCCTTAGCTTCTTCAAAACCCTCGGGGAGGGAGGAGGTGAGGGGACAATTCTCGGTAGACATGCTAACTTGGGCACCTACAGTTGCCTCAAATTCTCCCAACCCCATTAGTGTTTGGATGAATAGTAAAATAGAGAAGATCGAGATCAGACGAAGAAAGCATGAAAGAATAATGTCGGTTCGATTCACTGAGCGGAACAGAAGCTTTATATAACTGTTCCATTTTAATTTTCTTGAGGAAAGATCTGTTAATGGTTAAAAATGTCCAAATCCTACTGAACACAGCTACCTTTCATATGCAATTGCAATTATAACAATCGCGATCGATGCTGGGAGAACGCATTCTATGCTTCTTTCGGGATGCAAATGGAACGAGTTGAGCAATCGACTGCGCCCCGCATTAGCCGGCGAACATATTTGAACGTGTACCAGACACCAAAAATAATCGTATGAGAAAACGAATGGATCTAGGGAAGAAAATGGAAGGTTCGAGAAATAATCGCCTTAGTACTAAGCAGGTAGCCAAAAAGTTTGAATTCCAAACTAAATCACCCATAGGGTGTTCATGTATATGTAGCTCAGGGGCAGCCTTCAGAGAAAGGCAAAACAGACGTGGTAAAGGAATACCAACTGAAGATCTCTGGTTTATTCTTGTTTATCCTGGTAGACACGCAGCTGTACTCCGTGCACACGAACGCGTCACCTCCATCACATGACCTTTTTCACCTTTGCCTTCTCTCCTTTCGTCTAACTTCTCCAGGAAAATGGAAAACCCGAACGAATTGCCGTTTGCGTTTCTTACACAAGATTGGGATATCGGGAATCGTTTTGCAAGTACTAGGAGCGCCACTCTTTGTTGTAGCCATCGTGTTAGTGCACTTTGGGACCGAAATCGTATGCGGTCATGGCGTTGAAAACTGTTTTAACTTTGGGAATCAAGGCTTGCTGACGTTCAACAGCGATTTGTGGGCACTAATTTCCCATCAGACGTGGTTTTATTTGACAATCTTGGCGCTTAACTTCCTGAAAATACCTTATCAGATACATCACCGTACGCACGCAGAACTAGTATGATTATTCCATGCTGGAACGCTTCTTGCTATAGTCTTCGCATCTACTATAGCGGTAGCGAAATATCAACTCGCTTGATAAATAATCAAACATATGATACAAAAAAAGAAGTCAATTTTGAGCATGGAAATTTCTTCACGACATTGGAAATTATTAACAACAAAATGCCGAAGCCGAAGTTCGTACAAGGGTAGAGGGTGGTTGACTCAATGTCCAAATTTTCGCGGTTTGTTTACAACAAAAGTCACGTGACACTACACATGATCTCTATATCCTCTGCAATGTAAACGGTTTATATTCCCTTTTAACCGGAAGCAACTGGGTGCGTTTAAGCCTTCGTTTGAGAGGCTCAAAGCACTTCTAGCCGTGCGCACTTCACTCGACTTGCAAGGAAAAGGTCTCACCAAAGATTGCTTGGAGCTGGAAGGACTAAAATGACCCGAAGCATTAAAGAGATTCCCCCCCCCCCCGACTGATTCCGTCACGATCCGTCGAACGCTTCATTCGAATAAAAATTTTTCCTTGAAGGGGCACGGGGTTGCATGTTGAACGGAAGGAAAAATGTTGCTTGGAGAAGTGTCATGCTAGTGTTATGCTAAGATTTTGCACAATCAGGAGAAATCTAATCAAAGACGACACCTTGTAATTTTACGCTATTACTGAGTTGTAAAATCACATTTACAGCTCTCTATCGAAATCTTAAATTATAAGAGGAGTTCGATTTGTTATGCAATATCATCGTCACGCAATTTTTTTCACCGTAGATTTGCATATAAAAGAAATTGAAGGTCTCCTTGTGTATGGTATTGAGCTACAGGGAATGAAATGATCGAAGGTGTACGAAAAATCGCAACTTTGAACTCGAATAACACGGCGAATACCACGTGTAATTATCATTTCCCACGTCAATTGAACGTGAAATGTGTCATGGATGAGAAATTTCAGGGAAGGGAATTATTGCACCGCGAGCGGTGTTATAAATCGCTTCTCAGGAAAATATCTTACAACATTAGTAATAGCCTGATCATGATCATGATATGAGGCGGAAGCTTGCATGTTACTGCTCTCGGAATCTAACCGCGTGCGTTCACGTAAAATTAAAGAAAATACCGTAATCACCTATCTTCGTCAAGCTTCAACCCTTTCACGTTGTTGTAGCCACTCGGAGCATAGTTCCACCTTCTTTCAACTGCTGCGATGTAGTGTTTCCTGATCTTGGACGAAACGAGGTTCATGTGTAGAGAAACTGCACAAAATACCAACCAGATGAACGCTGTATTTGACTTCGCTAACTTCATAGCTCGTCGACTTCGTCTACGTTACTCAAAATATGTTAGTTCCGAGTGACTTGCCGCTGAAAAGTCGTTCAATCTGATCGAATTGACCTCAACGAAGAGAGACTCAGTCTGGCGTCTGAAGAGAACTGGCAATCCGGTTTAACTCGTAAATTCTGTGATCAAGTTTCCCAGCGTGCTATTGTTTGGTGGAAAATCAAACGAGACATGACAAACGACATCTGATGTAGCCCAACCCCGGAAATACAAACAGTGGGTTTAGCTGTCAATCTCTTCAATTCTTACATTTAGTAGCCTTTTCACTTTAACAGTGATTTCTTTTGAATAATGTGTTTTATTGACGCTTGAGTAATTTCTTCGCTTGGTCAGATTGTTTTAAACACCAAACAAAGAAATACCCGCATAGCTAACACCGCTCAAGAAAAATACGGGCATTAGTTTATTTAAATTTGAGGTTCTGAGGTTGTCTGCGGAAAATTGTAGCTTTGAAATATGAGATCGATTCAAAACGAATGAGACATGGTTTTATTTTATTTGTTCAATTTTTTTTTTAAGAAATCAAGCTTTTCGTTGTCAAAGTAGCTGTTCTTACCACCAGCACAACCATCAGCTAAACTCAAAAAACTATTGTGGTTTCTAGTGAACTAATGGATCATCTTGTAATATGATACACTTTTCACCCTGCTTAACAGAACCAGAATATGCGTGCTAAAGGCCGCGCACTGATGCATAAAGAGGTGTCCGAATGGGTCGACATAGGTAAAAGGTAACGTTAAAAAAATAATGAAAAAAAAATTAAAATAAATCATGCGGTTAAGTCAGCTTACCAGCAAGAAGGTCTTCCCTGTCGGAGCTTAACCAGCAAGAGCAAGAGGAAGTTGTTCTCAAATCTCAATCATTTACAACTGACTTATGGCGATTGACCCCAGGGAACCTGCATGATGTTTTACCCGCAGCTAGAGCCTTGTTCTAAGATGGTTAATTTTGTGTCAATAATGTACTTTCCATCTCCACCCCTTCCCCCCCCCCCGACCCACCTCCCGCAATAAGTACCAGTAATAGCGAGAGGTCGCGCGTGTCTTCTCGTGTGCGCCTTGATCCTATCCCATCATACTTTAAGAGGGAGGAATGATATCCTAATGATTTGTAATTGTAACTTTAAATTATTTGTATATGTTTTTATTTTTATTTTTTCCTTTGTAATTGGCACTGAAAAGCCCCTTTGGGGAAGTGGTCAATAAACGTATGTATGTATGTATGCATACTGGCGTTGTCCCCATTATGTCGGCATAATTTTGAGAATAATGGTGGGGCAAAAAGTCAAGCGTTATATCGAATAATAGTGAAAAAATATATATAAAAAATACTGCACTGCATATTGCCTGTTTCGATTGACGCTCGTAATAAACGTTTTAAAACTCGTCTACCTTTGTCTATTGCTCTATTTATTTAATCTATTTTTATATTAATCATATTCGATCATCGCAGCATGATTATGAAATTTTCTAAACATAAAGAATTAGTACAACATTGTGAAACATGGAACATGATGTGGATAACCCTCCCTTACACTTTTCTGATTCGGCGACAACTAGGTTGTCCGTCCGCCTAGCTCGCAAATTGACAACACTTCAAAATTTCGTCATGAAATTTGGAAGTAAGCCACCCCCCATTGCCAAACTATGAACAAAACAAAGCTTCTCGAAGAATGCATCAATTCGCTTGGTTTCTATCTGCCATTGAAAAGATATGCGTACTTGAAAATTCCTTCTCCTTTCCCAGTCCCGCTTTTGTTGCCTTTCTGAAGCGGTTCTTTGCAGTGAAAGCGTACAGCGTACAAATAAGGCAGAGTAGTCCCGGATCCTAGTGTCCGGTGTCTAAATTGTGCCCTCCATATGACTTCCGATATACCAAAAATATGGCGCTGTCATCAACGACGAATTCGACCGTCACTTCTACCACTGAAACTGGTGAGATTTCCTTTAAATTACTCTTTCCTTCTTAAATGTGATATCTTATTATCTTTGTTATCTTTTTAGTTGTTTCGACGTTACACATAATGGCTACTACCGACCACACTGATGAGGATAACAGAGATTTTTATACTGGCCTCGGATTAGCGATCAGTTCTAGCGTTTTCATCGGGACCAGTTTTATCATCAAGAAGAAAGGCTTGCTTAAAGTGAAAGATAGCTCAGGGACGAGAGCAGGTGAGGATTCATTGAGGTATGCGTCGCTTCATCAGTTTGCGGTGTGCTACACGTAATGAATGCTTTCGATTTGCAGGACATACACATGAATTTTTAAGTACAAGAAGCGTGATCATGAAGCTTACTATCGATATTAGCGGATGAGCTGAAATGTTATGAATTTGAATTAATGTATCTGTTATTTTGTTTCTGTGTTTAAGGTCAGGGCGGCTACGCTTATCTAAAGGAATGGTTGTGGTGGTCAGGAATGATTACAAGTGAGAAGGAATTTTTTTTTAAATGAACTAGTGTACTGCATGAATTGACACCATTCTTCCCTCTTCAGCACAGAGCAAATATCATTAAGAATAGAGTGGCAGATGTTTTGTTTTTCCGTCTCCGAAGGAACGGCAGTAATAATCTTTTCGACTCTCTACTTGTCACTTGGCATATATTGTTCGGATAGTTATCTCTTTATATTATTTTGAGACAAGTTTTGCGTCTATTTAAAACTGTTATGTGAGAAATATACTAACAACAGTTTCGGTTAATAACTGGAAGGTGTCACTCAATTTTAAGCTAAATTGGTAATCGTATTTTTACCAATTTCACTGAGTCCTTAGACACTTGAAATTGTATATACCTGAGTTAATGTAAAATTTCAACATCATCAGTTGTAGTAATCATGAGCTTCACAACAATAATTGTCGAGTAAGCGTTAATTTCCTTATCTGTAGAGTTGTGCTTACAATTAACCACAGCTAATATGTAGAGTAACTTTTCCTTATGTTTCCAAAGTCATCCAGGATTTCCCTTGTTTGACTTTGCCTGTGGTCTAGAAAAACTTGGAAAAACAAAGGCCAATCTGGACCAGATCATAAAATAATATAATAGGCCTCTCTTCATTCATTTCATTGTTTCCACGTTGAGTTCTCATTTGGCTTTTTCTGATACACATATACTGACCATTGTGAACACTCTGATAAAGTTTTACAACAGCCATTTTAGAAGAGTGCTGTTTACATTTCAGTCAATCAGAGCTTAGATTATCTAGCCGCATGCCAATTCAGCAGGATGTGCAAGAGGAATTATAGCAGAAAGGAGACTTAGTCAAAACATGTGGCTTTTTTTCTTTTCTTAGAATAAACACAGCATTTTTTTTTTTCAGTGGTTGTTGGTGAAATTGCCAACTTCACAGCATATGCCTTTGCCCCAGCGATTCTTGTCACTCCATTGGGATCTCTTAGTGTGTTGGTGAGGTAGGTTCACATTGATAGTGAAGGCCAATTTCTGCTTATTATCTCATATCATCTGTGGGTAAACTGTCTAGGAATATCCCAAAGTAACCCTTTGATCCCTAAGAATGACTAGCATCAAATTTCTCCTCACAACATCACCCCTAAATCACACTACAAGGTCATGGGAATGAAGGAAATAATCACCAACTGAAGAAGCTCTTGATTATAAAACAAATTCTTCATGTCAACATCGTAAGAGAAGTGTAAAGAATAGTATGGAGAATGTACATACTGATACTAGGGTACAAAGGATTAAGGACAAATCTTCTGGTTTGTGTACTAAATCTCCTGGCTTTTCTCTTTTTGAGTTTATCAAGTCAAGAACTGATCTCCTGTTCTTCCAGACAGTTTGCTTAAATCTCTTGGATGAAAGTTGATTTTTAAAAGAAGGAGACTCTGATAAAGTTATCAGTGTCAATCAAAACAGAGATACAGTACTTGTGTTTTTGCAATTTTCTGGAATCTGATTGTGTCAAGGAAAAAAAGTTAATGAGCTTGTTGTTCTGAAGTGTGTTCACTTGTTCTTATTTCACAATCATGTTACTGGTCTTAGCACAATCAACAGTAGCAACTGTCCATTTGTTTGTTTGGTGTTCATGGTTCTCTGAGGTTTACTGACCCAAACCCTAAGCAGAGTGTTCTTTCTTGCAGTGCAATGCTAGCATCTTATTTTCTGAATGAGAAACAAAATCTTCATGGTAAAATTGGCTGTATCCTGTCAATCATTGGATCCACTGTACTAGTCATTCATGCACCACAGGAAGAGGAAGTAAAGAGTATGGATAATTTGGAACCAAAACTTACATCACCAGGTGTTTATTTTTTTTTTATGACAAATGTTAATCCTTTCACCCTAAGATCTCAGAATAAATTTTTTTAACCGTCTGCCACAATGGGAGACATGGTGGCCAAATGATTAGTGCTCTAAACTCTGGGCTTAGAAGTCTGGGTCAAGACCTGGTTGGGTTGGGTCAGTGTGGTGTTTCTTGGGCAAAACACTTAACTCTCACTGTACCCTCCTTACTCAGGAGTAGAAATTACTCACAACAAATTGTCAGGGTAGCCTGATAAAATGCAAGGGGGTAATCTTGCAATGGGCTAGTATCCCTTGCAGAGGGGGGTAGTGATGCTCCTAGTTGCTTCATGCTAAGGAAGCAGGATAACCTCTGGCTGAGCAGGCCACTTTGCTTGAGTAGAAACCACTACCTATCATTTGTCATAATTTCAGCTTGGAAAATTTTGTCATCATTGCTTAATCAATCAATGTTTCTTACTAACTTTGTGTAAGTTGAATGGGTGGGAGTTCATGGCTGGGTTGCAGGGAGTCTGCTATATTGAGCTTGGTTGGCTCAATATAGCAGAATCCTAGGATACCTGCAGCATCCACCAACCATTTCATCATAGACAGTGGTTTTAACCCTTTAAATCTCAAGATCTAGATGTTAATTCTCCCTTCTGGCTGCTATACATTTCCCTGTAAACTGGTTACAAGAGTTTGGTGTTCAATCAAGATGACAACTTCTACCTAATAGGTTTGAATATTATTATCACTTGTTTTGCTGGAAAATGTTCATCACTTATGGGAATAAGAGGGTTAATTAAAGATTCTCCTAATTTTAAATATCTGAAATAATTTATTGAGCAGTATTTATTTATGTCTCCTTCAGGATTTATCAGTTATGGATTCATAGTTATTGTCTTTGCACTTGTGCTGATATTCTATTATGGACCTCGATATGGCAAAACAAATATTATGGTGTATATTGCAATCTGTTCCCTAATTGGATCATTGTCAGTTATGGGATGCAAAGGTCTTGGTATTGTTATCAAGCAGACATTACATGGAGACAGTCAGCTAACAAATCCAGTTGCGTGGGTATTGTTATTTGCTGTGTTAGCCTGTGTCTTGACACAGATGAACTACTTAAACAAGGCTCTTGACATATTCAACACATCATTGGTTACACCTATATATTACGTCATGTTTACAACATTAACAATCATCGCTTCAGCCATTTTGTTCCGGGAGTGGGAAGTAATGGGCTCAAAGGACACAATAGGTGCAATTTGTGGATTTGCAACAATTGTGTCTGGAGTGATTATATTACATGCATTCAAGGATGTCCACTTCACTTTAAAAGACATTCTGAAGTCAAACTCCCAAGCAAACGGCATTCCTAAAGTGAAATATTCAAGCAAACAACCTGAAGAATCACAAGCAATCCTTATACACAATGACACCAGTATCACTGATGATGAAGAGGAAACTGTGTTTGCCAATAGTATAAATCATTTATGACATTTTTGAGTCAATGATATTTAATTTTATAATAATGATAATGTAAAATTGTTAAGGTAGCTAAAAGGGTGAGTGTTTTCTTGATTAGCGTCACCAATTTATAAGTCACATCTTTTGAAACCCAAGTGGTAAATGTGTAAATAGACAGTTACTTGAATGAGTGTTTTGCACAAAACCACTGTTCATTTTATTTATACAATATTTTTACATTAAGGATTGTCTTATACTGACTTACTCAGTTGACCTAAACCAATATTCAGATAGACAAACACTAGCTTAAACTCTTTTGAGTGATTAACAAATAACTTCTCCCTTCTCACATCATCATGCAGACAGCTGACAAGGATACAGAAAAACTTTCAGCCTCAGTTTGTGTTTACAATATTGCTCAAAAATCTCTCGACTACCATGAGAGGAAATTCAAAGAGAACTTATAATCAGATATCAATTCAAGGCTTTTAATCTGGCTGCAATTCTATTTCATAACAATACCAAATTTATGCAGTGTCACAGGGTTCTCAATAAGTCAGGGAGTAGAAGGCTAACTGCTGGGAGTAGATTGTTGACAATTTGGGGGCTTCTTCCAGGGGTCCTTGGGCATGCTGCTCATAAAATATATTTGAAAGGTAGTTGCTCTGGAATGCCATTTTGAGCATTCTTTTGAAGGTATGTGCAAAGCAATATGGTAGTTGGCTGGCTAGGTAAACTTGTGCCAGTTGTAGATTGCATAAGTGCTCAACCAGCCAAATGTGTTTTTGTGGAATGCCAAAATGGCTTTTGAGAAAGTTCTCTATTTTTTTTTTTTCGTGAATACTGCCATCTTTTATATGGTGAATTTGTACATTCTCTAGAGAATCTGAAAATGTCCTTAAATTTTAATGTTTGTCCAAAGGTATAGCACTGTGACTGAGGTTTTGTACTACTTGTAGTTTTATAGGAGCAAAGAAACATGTTTTGTTTAAATTTCATTTGTTGAATCACATAATTTTCAGTGCTATACTTTTTGGTGGCTTATTTCAACCAGTTCTCCCAGCCCGGAAGCTCTCTCTCACCCCAACAAGCAATTTTTTGAAAGATAGTTGACCAAAGGTAAAGTCTGTACTCAAAGGCAAGTGGCCCATCCAGTGGGAGCTTATCCCTGTGTCCATAGCATGATGTGGTCAGGAGTATTACTATTTCCCCCTGAATAGGATACCAATCCATTGCAAGGTTTCCTCTCAGTATTTCATCAAGCTTCCCTGACAATTCATGAGTACCTATTTATTATACTCAGGGGTGGAGAGAAGCACTACAAAAGTGCAGTGTTTTGTCCACGAAGATAACACAATGACCCAGCCTGGTCTGAAACCGGGCCTCTCAACCCTGACTCCAGCACACTGGATAACACTTTATTCACCTTATAAATCATTGCTGCAGAAGAATGCATCAAAAAAATATTGCCAGGGAAAGGAAAAAGAAATACCGAAGGTTGGCTGTGATGCAGATAAAAAGAAAACAAAGTTTTGAGGTTATAATTAGAGATAAAAATTTCAAGTTAAAATGCTATTTACACTGGTCTTTATTGTGAGGTGACCAAAGAGTTAATTAGTACTTTTGACAACATTGATAATTAATGTTAAGTTGTTCATTAACCTGGTAACTAAACTTATCTTGTTTGTTGTATAATGATTTTAATGACAATTTTTTTCTTTTTGGGCTCAATTCTCAACTGAAGTTGATCAGGCTTTTACATTAATGTTATTACAAAATTTGGCTTTTTGCTCTTTCAAGTTTTATTTATACCAATCCCTGCGGATTCATTATACTGTAACAGTTATAAGTTTATTTCACCAAAACATGAAACTTTGTTCAGCCTGGACTCTACCAGAGATTAACCTTCTCTTGAAATGTTTTTACACAGATCCACAACATTATTATTAATACTATGTGAAGTTTTCAATCAAACTATCTTCACATTGTCAGTACTCACAAAATACACCCTAGGAAGCTAGAGGAATTAAATCCCTCCCTGTGTTGCAAATCTACTTCCTCCGACAATTCTCCCTCCATGTACGAGCATCAGCTCGGTTTTGGTTCGTAATTGGTGTATAATCCAGTGTCTTGAGCCTTGGCAGTGTTGAAATAATGTGCTGTTTATAACTAGGAAGGTCTTCAATGTCATTTCCATGTAGTGTTAGACTAATGAGCTCTGGAAGTTCAGCTAGTTTGTCCACTTCTGAAAGTTTTTCAATGCTGTTTGCATGCAGGTTTAAAATCTTCAGCTTTGGATACTGTAGCAAAACCTACAAGCAAAGAAAGACAAATCTTTTAAATTATTATACATTAGACCAACTATGAAAACTCTGATTGATCTTGAGCATACTGTCAATATACAAAAGGGTGTGTCGTGATAACCCAATACCTGCAGTAGATATTGAGTTATCATGTCGAGTTCAAACTCTGCCTAGTTTCCAAGCCCCATGTCCATGTAATGTTCTTAAACTTTTGCAAGCTCAGAGAGAAGAGTCTTCCTTTGCATATTGTTTAAAAAAAAATGAATGATTTTGAATTTAGCACCATATCATGCTCAAGTGACAAGGTTGAAAGTTTTAGGTGTTGTAGCACCTTTGTTTGTTCTCATTAGTGTGTTTTGATGCCCTGTCAACAGGGTTAAAAGTTCTAACTGACATGAGGCAAACAGATTTGCTAATTAAAAGTAATGCTCAGAACTCAAAGCCTTGACATACAACTTTCAAGTCTGGTGTGATATTCACTTAGCCATGTTACCTCCACACAAATGCTCTTCGTGTCACTTCTAAAAGCTTTCAACATTAAAAAAACACAAAAGTTTTGAAAATGCAATACTCTGCTCCATATAACATAGTGACCCTTTCAGATTTCTTAAAACAAAAGAATATTTTTTTCTTTTCTACTTTATTCAATTGAGTAAATGAGAAAAAAAAACCAATGGTTGTGACAATTAGACAAATAATTCACAATTTTCCTTCTGACTCTTCTTTGGGAAGTCACTCAATGATTTCCATGACCCTTTCACTTCAAAGATCTTATTAGTAATTCTCCATAATGTCTGTCATACAATCCATATGAAGTTAGTTAGGAGGATTTGGTATTGGATCAACTAAAAATCCCCTAATTGATATTTTTCTTTACTCTTGTCACCTGTCTGCTTAGTATAGTAAGGAGAAATACTATCTAGGGACTTAAAGAGGTTAAATCAATGCAACCATGAAGAAGAGCGCAGAACAACTAAAATTGTATCGCTTGGAACCCTCCATAAAATCTAATTGCAGCTTTCTTTATCCCTGGCTGAAAGATTTAAAGCCACTTCCCTCCTTCCAGTTCCTCCTTATCCCCAAAGCCTAGGCAAGTATTCTGCTAAAAAAGTAATAAGCAGAGGGTAGATACAACCTTTAAATCATCATCAGCCATTACAACGGCCGGCCATTGAAATATACCAAATCTCTTGCACTGTGTACTGAATGTGGACCAGTCTCTTAAACAGGGAAACATATCGAGAATACATAATTGGAGTCCAATTATAGAGATCTGGTTGGCACATACATCAAGGTGCCCTCCAGGTCTCTCCTAAACTCTGAAGGTCTGGAAAAGGAGACTGATCCCTTGACAGCTCACTCAGTTGATGAACAGCAACATAGGATGTACGAAATTCTTCATGTCGTTATAACTTGATCGTAAAGTTAGTCTTGATATCCGAAGTGCAAACTTACCTTGTCGATGGTGGATATATCATTAAAAGACAAGTCGAGCCATGCCAGCTCCAACGGATTTTCCAACAACTGTTCCAGCGTGGAAGACAAATTCTCAAGATTCGAGATGTTATTATTGCAGAAGCGTACTGAATTTGATTTGAACTGTCCAGATCCTTCAGTTCTCTGCAAAGCAGAAATTGTTTACTAGATAATTATATAATTTGTTTTTAAATAGACATTTTAAGATAAGAGTAAACTTCCCAAGTAAATCCATACTGGCCAAAATTTACGCTTTGTTTACCTCAATTTTGTGACGAACCGGTCTGGGTTCTTCTTCCAGGGCATCTGTGACAAAGGTTTCAGAGATTGACAAAAGTTATCACAAATATTCGCGAGGACAATAAAAGAACGTGGGCAACAAATCAAATGGTTTACAAACCTTGTACTCTTTCCAAAGCTTTAAAGGAGAAATCTAAAGGTGAAGATAACTCATTGGCTGCATCAATAGCAGACGAGGCTTTCGGTTTGTTTTTGGAGCTCATGGTTTCCTCTTTTTCCACGCCTATGCGTTCCAAACACTGTGTTCTTAGTTCCAATTTCAGGAAATCTGCGAAGCCATCATATGTCGTGACGTTTTCACGTTCTGTTGCTATACCAACGAATCGAAGAGTCTCTGTCAGGTCAGCGGATACCTTCACAAGGAAACAAATATGGCGGGCGACAACAGAGGTACGTTCATTACCCTGTCTTTCTTTGAACACTTTTAGTGGTTGTTTTTAATAAACATTACTTGGCTTGATTCGAAGGTTCCATGTGCTGTACTTGTAAAACAGTGGTTGAATTATGTTTGTCTGCGAGATTTTGTTTTATCAAGCTGAAACTTTAAATTCTTAACTAGTCACTGAAGGAAAAAAAAAGAAAAGATTCAGAAACGAGTAACGTTTACAATATATAACTTTACTTCAGAGTCATAACATATGCTTTTATTACATTTCGTTTTACAGGGAAGACGGTTATGGAGGTATCTTTTGATTAATAGTGTTTATACCTTTTCCTTAAATTGTTTAAACTTCTCATATATCAGTTTGTATGATTAAATGAAAGGAGATACATTTAACTGCTCAATGTTAATATCTCAGAGCAATCCCTGATATTTTTCAATCTTAAAAAAATCAATTTTATATGTAACAGTTAATTTAAGTTATTTATCAAGCATTATTTGTCTCCTTTGCGATATTTGCTCACAATCAAAAATGGCTTAAAACACCTTGAAATGTGGGATCAATATCAGTATCTGGGCAACTGCCCTCCTACCCCTCCCCTAACTCAACAACAGTCAATTGATAACAACTTGGGGTTAATGTTGGGTTAGGGGAGGGGTAGGTGGGCAGTTGCCCAAATACTGATATTGATCCGAAATGTGCATTTTTTTTCTTATCTTACTTAGAATCATTTTTGCTATATCCCTTCCTGACCATTCTGCAGTTATTTATTTTGTCTGTTGAAAATTATTTTGTTTGAGACCCCTTCTCCCTCAGGAGTTGTAGTACCCTGATGGTAACAGAATCAATATTTTTGCTGGCACCACACAGCACATTCCTCATGACTTGGAATTTTTTGGCAAGCCCCTCTATAACCTGTGATCTAATTCAAACATCTCTTTACTCACTGCTATTTAAATCTTGATGATAAATTATTTAAAATAATTTAACACCTCTTGGTCATCTGTTCTTGTCAGCTGTATTCTTGGTAATGTATTGTAATTGTGAGGAGAACTTGTACTTTAGATAAAGAGTTGCAACTGCTCTCTCTATCCCATTCTGAAGTAAAATGACTGTCTAGGTTATTATTGTATCTGATTACTATTCCTGTGTATACCTTGAGAGATTATTCAGAATGTCTACTAAGCATTGGTAATTGGAGAATTCTCCAACTACTCTGCAAAATTCTCTGCCTAAATTTAAAGGGTGCAGATTTTTTTGAATACAGATATGGAGATTCTCCTGTTACTTCACAGAAGTCTTCTACTCACACATTTCTTCAGCAAAACCCTGAGATATTCCTTAACTCTCCTCATCAGCTGTCATCCTTACCTCTTCAAATATTTCTCTTTCTGAACATTTGGTATGCTATGGTATTTTGTGTTGCAGAACTTTTGCTCTATGTTTATAAAGGTACGTTTACAGAGGTACTAACTAGAGTAGCAGGACTTCTCTTCTTAACCCTTTAACTCCCAAATCAAATTCATAATTCTCCTTACTGTCAACCATACAATTCTTATAATGTTCTTCAGAGAATTTAGTATTGGATCAATTAATTATCCCCAATTGATATTTTTCTTTATTCTCATCACTTGTCGGGTTGATATTGTATTGATATTGTAAGGAGAAATTCTGTCTTAGTCACTCATGGGAATTAAAGGATTAAAGGAGAAGAAGAAGAAGAAATCTTCCCTTTAGAAGAATTTAAGTACACCTTTTATTGAAATTTCAGCCCTTAAAGACTCTCTTGGCATACAAAATTTAGTTTACAGAAGTGCTACTTAGGCTAGGAGGACCTCTCTTCTTAAAGGAGCAGAAAAAGAGGAAGAAGAAAAAGAAGAAGAATTCTTAATAGTAGAATATTTTAAAATCATGTAAAAAAAGTTCACCTTTGACTGCAGTTTCAGCCCTTAAAGACTTTCTTGGCATACAAAATTTAGTTCTCACTTAACATTCTACAATTGTCCAAATAACTGTGCAATATTGTGAGATATTTGTACCTGATTTTTGTATTATATGTAGTCTGTATGATGTAGTTGGATAATAAAACCTTGTTGATGTGTCCAAAATACTTTACTCTTTGCTTTTCCTCCAGGTACTCTTTTGCCTTATCCTGACACAGCAAGGACCTTGGCTATTGAGATCATTATTATCTTTCTTCTGGCTTTTATTGAGGGTGTTAGAATCTTCTTGGGTATGTGAGATTACTTGCAGTTTATTGCATCGCATATGAATATACTTTACAGACATTTGGAAGTAGAAACAGATAGAACAAGAGAGATGGAATTATGAGACCAGACACAAATCTGAGTCTGTAAATAATACTCTAAGACAGTTTTGAATGTGTTCTTTAATACTTGTTAATTTTAAATTAGATAATTAGGAATTTTCAAGTAAGCTGGGATGTACCAGTTGTTCTCCTTTTTTTAATTTCTGTGAACTTATTAATTTTTTAAGAAGTGTGTAAACCAATTAACCCCCCCCCCTCCAAGCTTCTAACTTAAGTTTCACAGTTTGCATTCTATCAAAATATGAATTAATTTATTTTGAGGCTTATTTCTTACCTTGCTTTCTCTTTTGCTCTGCAAAGGTTACAAAGGTAACTTAGCAGAACGTACCATGGCCCTTGTATTTTCTGTGGTGCTTGGCATTCCTGTTCTTTTCATTGACTTATTCATCTTGCTTTGGCAGACGTATGTGTAAGTACTTAAAAAATGTTGAGTCCTATGAAGTAAGATGCAGATTTTTGTTGGAGCTTATCCCAGCATTTGTTTAATTAATCTTTTGACTCCTAAGAGTGACTGGGATCAAATTTCTCCTCACAGAATCACTGTTGAATCAAATATAAAGGTTTTTAAGAATAAAAGAAATGGTTGCAAACTAAAGAAGCTTGTGATCGTCAAACAAATTCTCCTTGTCAGTACCATAGGAAATGTATAAGGAGCATTATGGAGAATGTAGATATTGATGAGAGGGTTTGAAGAGACAAGGAGTAGTTTTATATTTAATCTTGTTGGGATATTTGTTCATTGTGCGTCAAACCCCCCCTGCATTCTTGAGTGGAGTGAAGCACTAAATGAGTGAAGTGCCTCGCCCTTGAACAAAAGACAGTGATGCCAGCCTGGCTTTGAGCCCTTTATTCCATAAGCTATTGCACTCACTCCACAAATACTTAAGTTAGACTCACAAAAACTTAACTTTGTTGTCATTTTATTTCATGTATCAACCCTTTAACACCTAAGAGCAACTAGCATTTAATTTTTCTATACAATATCACCCCTAAATCAAACATTGGGGTCAAGATAATAAAAGAAGTGATCACCTTGACCTAAGAGGCTCTTGGTTATGAATCAAGTTCTCCTTGTCAGCACCTTAGGAAATGTATAGAGAATGATATGGAGATTATTTATACCAGTGTTGGGTTTTGAAAGGGTTGATTAAAAGTAAAGCTGTGTTTTTTTGTTTTGATTTAGTTTAAGGATAGAGGTGGTACTGGTCAGTGTTGCCTTGGCATTTCTTGGTTTTGAGATGATTTTCAGTTTTGCTGCCATTTTCACTTTCAAGAGGTAAGTGCAAAAGCAGGAAAACTATTTTCCTCACTCTTTAGAACAGTTTTGTGATTTTTTAATCTTCCAATAGAGAGATATCTTTAAAAATCCAGGACAGATACACACAGTGGCTGTTTTAAAATTGTTGATTTCATTCCTCACAGAAAATTTGTTTCCCTTTTTAAACCTGGCTATGTTTGTGAAACGTCACCCTTTGACCATCCCGTCCCACCTCTCCCAGCACCGCCCCTTTCCGTGTTGCTCTAAACCTGGCTCAAAACAGAGTTGAAAGCCCTCGTTGTTAGCTCTGTAGGACGAGCGTTTCTCCACCTACGAGAAGATTTGAGACGAGTCTGTGAAAGGTTTGCCGAGAGTCTGGCACTAATAGATGCCTTACAGACTTCTTGCTGGTTCGCTCTGCCCCAGGCCTCATATTTTCCCGCGGGTAAAGAAGCGCTTGTTTTGAGGGCTACTGTTGAAAAGGCAGTCGAACTGAGTTTTAGATTGGTTGCTGTTCTGACTGTGCGTAGGCAGATTTCTTAACTCTCTATATTTGTTGCTTTTAGACACCAAACTATGCTGAGGTGATGTTTGCAGTTTTTCCAACAACGAGTTGACAAAGTCAAGAAAACTTGTACATAGGACTTAGAACTTCATCAGTGATCAAGGTGTTTAATTTTTTGCGTGGCGCCCTCATTTTACAAATTACATTTGACTTGTGAATTGCAGCCCTTAGCTACTGTGTTGCGTATCTATGCGTTTGACCCCAAGAGTGACCAGCATCTAGTTTCTCCTTACAATATCATCTCTAAATCGAACAGGAAGGTCAAGAGAATGGAGGAAATGATCACTAACTAAAATAGGTCTGATTTCTAAACAAATTCTCCTCGTCAGCGCCTAAAGAAATGTGTAGAGAATAGTATGGAGAATATGCATGCCTATGTTAGGGTGTAAAGAGTTAAACTGCGGCTAGCTGCTGCTGTGGTGCAGAAAAAAACATAAGTAAAGCGGCTTTAGAAAATTCGCGTTAATTTAGGACGCGTAAATTTATGTTAGCTTTATTTCCGTGTCATGAGCTGTCTCTACAATTTTCGATACCTTTATTTCCTTTATTTTCATTTCACCTCACATTTACAATACTTGTTGGTAAGTTTTGAGGACTAAGTTATTTATATCGCGTACCGTACTTTCACTAAGTTACCCTTGAAAAAAGGCTCGAAGTGGCGAGATTTCTTCATGTTAAGGGACATTCCATGAACATTAACTGAATTGCAGATTTGTTAGTAAATTGTGTAAATAAATTTGTTTCTGTTTTATTGAGAAGTTCTTGTTCGTTGTGCAAGTTGCGTCAATGGGCCATTTCCGAATTTGCCTATGGCCTCATTTTCAAAACGAGGCTTAGTGCTCAACCATTCGTATGAAAATGAGTTTAATTTGCATTTGACTAAAAACTTTTAATCATATGAAAGGATGAGCACCGGGACTCGCTTTGAAAATGAGGCCGAAGGTAATTTGGAAATGGGCAATTGCCTCATGTCATAATTTGAGACTCGAAAATTGTCTCTCTTAGAAAGTAGTTTTTGTTTCAGTTAACTTTAACCCGATGACCTTAAGAGTGATTACTATCAGTGTCTATTGAAACGTTCATAAAGGGGTGAAAATTGAAAAAAAAAAGTTGGGAAAAGGAAATCTTGAGACTTTTTGAACATAAAGCTCATTCGATCACAGGCATCCTGTTGAATTACCACTTTGTTTGAGTTATACGCTTTTAAAACACCGTGGCTTACTCACTGTTGTATGAAGCTGATGTGACAGCGGTTCTGACAGCCTGGAAGCACGTTCCCTTCACGCCACGTCAGACCATGTCGTTACAACGTTCGAACATGCGCAGACACATGTATCAGACACTGACTTTGTATTCTTTCGCTCTGACGAAGGACTAATGCTGGAAACGTCTGCTTAGAAACTCTTCATGGTGGCCAATTTACATCATCAACTCGATAAAACTAAATTAGCTTGTTCTACCCTCCGCCAATGCAACACGGTTTCTTTAGAAACTTACCCCTTTAACCATAAAAATAACAATTTCCTCGCTTGTGATTGGTTTTAAAAACTCTTATTTTCCACTTATTCGCTTGCCAAGTTTTTATCGGACAGTTCAATAAGCCAATCACATTCAAAGTTGTGGTTTAAATCAACCAATCACATTCATTTTGATTGTAGTCAATTTCAGCCGGTGCAACGTTAAACAATGAACGCCTCCTTTGTCAGTCTTTTAATTTAAATTTTCCCTTTTTTTCACAACTGGCCCGGTTATTCTTTTTTTCTAGGAAATTGTAATTTCTATGATCAGTTGGTGATAAGACTTCGTGTCGTCCAATTCGGTCTGTAATCATACGAGTGATAAACATATCGGACTCCCGCTGCGCATTCGTCCAATTTCGTTATCACTCATATGATGACAGACTGAATTGGACTCCACTCAGTCTTATTACCTTTACTAATTCAAAAAAGGTGGATTCTTATACGCGGGTTTTAATTGTTCACGTTATAGTGCGCGCGCACTTTCGAATGTAAAGAGTCGTCATTGGAATTATGACGCACTTTTGTGTTTCCCTCAGGGGTTCAATTTGCTGTCGACTGAAGTTGTTTTTGACGAGTTTATAATTTCAAAGTATATATCGCTCATAAAGGTGATTCAGAAAGACTTTAGGCGGACAGAATTTTGTAACGAAATGTCTAGTTTTCTTCCTTCAATTGATACCGTCGGCAAAAGTTCTCTCGTCGCCGCGAAGAGGATTTACTCGGCCGTTGATTGCTTGGAAGGAGCTACGAGCAATGGTCGCGGAGGGAAAAAGAAGAATAGAAGGAATCGGGCGCGTTCAATGGATGATCATACGCCTCACCAGAAATCTGAAAGAAAAAAAGAATACTCTCAGGAGTTGAGGATGCGGAAGGATAAAGCCCGAATTGCGCGTGAAGAAAGTCTGGTAGAGCGAGAAAACATGAAGGTTCTTAAAGAGAGGGGACTCCGCGAGAAGAAAAGACTGAATCAGTTATTTTCAGTTTACGCTGTACAGCACGGATCCGCGTATAGAGAAAGTGCAAAAGTCGTCAAACCGAAATTTCCAGTTTTGTTAAAAAGTACAAAGAGTACAAAAACCACTGCGATGTCGCGCGAGAAAATTTCGCTTCCGCACAGCCCGCTTCCGAATTTGCCCTCTGACAGCAGAGAAGGTTCCCAGGAATAGTTTCTTACCAGGAAGAAATATCTCAATTTCGGCTGGAATCTGTCAAGATTTTGTACTATTTAGGGGAGTATTTGGCAATATATAGAATGGAGAAACTTGCGACACACAGAAACTTCCAAGTCCTTTGTAATTTGCATTTTATGGGCTTAGCTTGTGATAGTCTTGTTTTTCTTGTTAAGTTTTGTTATAAGCATGGTTGTTAATATGGCAGCGTAAAGGGTTTTTTCTCGCTTTTGTTAATTCGTGATTAAAAATGTTTGTATGTAGGAAATTCTAAACACCTGATTTATTGATATCTATACACCCGGCTTTTACCTCCCAGAATTCTGAAGAAACCGCAAATATTAGCCGCCTTTCATGTGCAGGGAGCGTCAAGATTTCAAATTAGCAAGAAAGTGCGATCTATATGGAGGTATCGCGAACTCCCGCAGCGAAAGCGAACAATGATAATCCCCGGTGTTAATTTATAAGTAAAACAAAGCAAGAAAAAGTAAAGAACCAGTCTTTTTTATCGGGGGGAGGGGGGGGGGGGAATCGGAATATTTTGGTTGACTGATTCCCCTCCGTTCCCGATGAAAATCATGAGATCTCCCTCCCCCAAAATTCCCCAAAATGTTCCCCCAGGGGGGATGGGGAGGAAGACGTCCGTGTTGCCACGCTGTACGCGGTCTCTTGTTTCTGATGTCGTTAGGACAGTAACGATGTCATACATAGTCAACTTCATAGTCGGTCTTTGATCACGTGATCTCAAAAGAGGAACGTTCCTACGATGAATATAACACCTGGAATGTGTGATCACGGTATTTCAATATATGCAAGAGATAAAAAAAACTACATAGATTTCCGAAATATATTCCTTTTTAAGGAATACAGATAAAGCCTGAAAGATTATTGAGAAATAAAGGCTTTTACGAAATCAAGTGAATAATTATTTACACGATAACGTGTATGCATTGCGAACCTATTTTTATTTTGCGCTTGGAAAACTCGCGAAAGGAACTCTGGGGTAAACAAGACTGCTTTTAAAATGGCGGACAAGGGTACATTTGTTGGCGCAAGGTTACGAGTGTCCACAAACGAAGGAGATTATGAAGGAACGGTCCATAGCATAGATGTGGAAAAGAGGAAGGTTACGTTAAGTAAAGGTGAGTCAATCCTTTTCAATGATGCGAATTAGATTACTGTCATTCGTCCTTGAACAACCTCACCGTCCAGGAAGGAATTGCGTGAACTGATTAATTTCGCAGTTAGGAATATTAAATCTTACTTTCTTGGTTTTGCATCCGCCTACCTATTAATTTCCGAAACAATTGTTTTCATTTAAGTTTATCTAAGATACATAACTGACAGATAGAGGAATCGTGTGGCGAATGTTTTTGGTACTGTCTTGCAAACGAAATGTCAAATTGATGAGTTGTTATAATAGCACAATGTGGTCCATTGTTAGCTATGGTCGCATTACCACAATAGGCACTTTTAACAGTTTTTTACTTGCTAGAGGGAGGAAAAGATCATACATTCAGACAGATATCGCTGATCGGAGAATTCTACGGCATCTAGGCAGAATCCTCCTACTAAATTTTGATGACCTAAGCTATTTTTTATTCAGACGTGGAAAACATTATCATGTCACTTTAAAAATTCTTAACCCTTACATTTCCAAAGAAGCTGACAAAGAGAATTTGTTTAACAAGCAAGAGCTGCTATAGTTGGTGATCATCTCCTCTATTCTGGTGACTTTCATGTTTGATTCAGGGGTTTTATTGTGAGGAGAAATTAGATGCTAGTCACTCTTAGGGGCTAAGGTTAATAAAAAAACCTGGTATGACGAGCCTAGAGTTACATTGCTGCTCAAGCTTACAATGCAGTGAGCAAATGAATAATGAGGAAAAAAATGCAAAGAGAGAGCTATAGTGAAACAAGATTTATTTAATTGGAGCATTAAGCGAGTTCTATTCACAGGTGTGGCAAAGGACTTGAAGCCAAGATCTCTGGCTTGCAAGTTCAGGATTCCTTTCACTAGTGATGCTGCTTCTACACTGAGAAGATACAACTCTCCTGAAAGGAAATCATGCTTATCTCATATTTTTATTTTAATTTGATATCTAGTGGTTTCATGCAGCACCGGAAGGAAACTTCATGGATTTCATCATTTTTTCGGTCATGAGCTAACCTCATGTAAGTAGTACCTGCAATAATAACAGTATATCACCATTTGAATCAAGCTATGTTTATCTGGCTCTCAGATAGAAGTAAAAATCACAGTTTTCCCCATCATCCCCATGGTGCTGACAAGGAAGGTGGTCAGCATAGGGGCATCATTTATGTTATGCCTGAAGGGTGAGATAGAGATAGCCATAAAGGCCACTGTGGTGTAAAGGAAATCGTGGAGGCTTTTTTCACATCAGAGCAAGGTGTTTTATTCTCTACATACTGACATTTACGCACTGAAAAGGGGAAAAATAGTTTATTTGGTTAGCTGGTTGAAGAAGCCAACAGCCAATCAAATGGCTTGTATTACATTTTTCACATTTGGGGAAAAGATGAAAAGTCTTTCCATATGGTATTTACACACTTGTCAGTTTGTATCAGAATCTAACACATTTGATTTCTGATTCCACCATCTTGTGCATAAACACCAAAGAGGCAAACTTCATATGAAGTATTTTATATGTATGACATGATGAGTATTTTGAATCTGTGAAATGAGAATATTAGCTTGTCAAGTACAGTGAAGTTTGAAGTATTTGAAAGAGTAAGTTGGATCAATGGTTTTTACCCTCAGGTTTTACACTTAAGCAGGATAGTGCTCAATCAAGCAAATTCACCAGTGGTGACTCTTAATGACTGTTTCACAACATTTTCATAGCAGTCAACTTTCTTGTTATTTAACAGTGGAGCTTTTAGAAGAGGCTGATAACAATGCTTCACAGGATCAACTGGCAGAGTAAGTTATCACAAAGTTGCTAAACACCACAACAGACTGAGGCTTGTTCTAGGATGAGGATGTTTATTAAATGTATATCTTGCTGACATAAAACACCAGACTATTACTAACATCAAATGTATTTGATGGATATACTAAAACAATGGTCCAGTTATCAAGAATAAATAAAAAATACTAAAGAAATATAGAAATGTCAAAATTGCCTATGGTATGGATGGGAAAGAAACTTAGAATTTACTTCAGAAGTTATAAACTAATATGCTGGCTTGTTCACTTAATTGCTAATGAAACATACTCAGATACCTAAGTAGCAATATACTTAAATAATTTTGCAGTTAGAAATGTGCTAGCATGGTGTGTAACCAATGGTTCTATCCACGTCTTCTGACTTGCTTGCCATACACATTGCTCTGACTTGCTTGCCAAACAGATTGCTCAATCTAACCTACTGGTACCCAGTCTGACCTTCACAGTTATCAATGTCTAGATTCATATAAATGAGATAAATAGTCACATCAATAAAGAAGAGCAATTATTAGTTAATAATCTAATCCATACTCAACCAACCTCTGGAATTTAAAATCAAATTTTCATCTTTCTATAGGAATGACCAGAAGCATGATAATAAGAAAGAAAAACAACTCCATGAGGAAAACTCTAACATTGCATCAAATCATTCATTGCAAACGTCATCTAAACCAGACAGAGGCTTTGGAGACAGAGGAGTAGCAAAAGCATTTACAGATGCTGGTATTGGGATCAATTCAAAATTAGGAGTAAAAAAGACAGCTGTTTCCAGTGGATCTTTCTCCAGGGATGTGAGCGATGAAGGAGACAGTCTACTGAAAAGGCACCCTATCATAGCAGAGAAGTGTATGACTTTTGTACTCTTCACAAATTTCTCTGCCTGGCTAGTGTTAGATTTACCTTTCAGACATGTTATCTTTAATTTGGTGAAGATCAGAAATAACTCTAAAGTTATGGATGGCATGTTAGTCTGTTACAGGTTGCTCCCCGCCATTTTGTCAGGTTTCCCTGACAGGCTGCTGGCATGTATTTATAGGCGGGGTAAAATGGGGACCTGTTGACATTTCATGCACATAAATAATTAGAGATAATGCATCACGAAAAATTGGATAAACAACTTTAAGGTTGACTTATTGCAAAAGGAAAAAAGAATTCACTGTTCAGGGCCCAGTTGTTCAAAGGCCGATTAGCCCTAACCCAGGGTTAATTCTAATCCAGCTTTCTTTATTTCTTTGTTCAAAAATCTTTTAGGGAAAATTTTCACTATTCTTTTTAGAACATCCAATGATCAAATTGCAAGCAACAAGATTTGAACTGAATTTTCTCCTAAAGTTTTCAGCCCTGAAATCAAATTTCACATTAACCCTGGGTTACCTTAACCCAGCTTTGAACAACCCGCGTCAGGGGTTTTAATTTCTTATTTTCACAAGTCATGAAAATTAAAAACAGTTAATCTCAAATCACACAAAAATCCCTTTTAACCCCTTTCTCTATACTCATGGGTGGGGTAGGCACTCTAACAGTAACACAGAATGACCTGGCCAGATCTCCAACCTAGACCACTTGGCCTGGAGTCCAGTGGCAAAAAGTGCAAAGGAGGGGGCTGATGGAGGTTTTTTCTTTACTCTGATATAGTTAATTTCAAAGAAAATAGGCAGAAACTTTATATCTATGTATTTGCAATATTTAGACAGGCTGGCTCAAAGCTATTTAAATGGGGGTCTGTTTAAACAATAACAAGGCCAGACCACAACACTGTGAGCTATGTAATATCTACTCTTTGTGAGAAGTGTGGGTTCTTTAACATCCCTTGCTAATAAGTACAGAGAGGAAGCAGGAGATGGGGTCTACAGCTTATCGTCCTTATCTGAGAAGACTGGAATGTCTAGTAACCATTTTGCAGTGTCAAAGCAAAGGCGGCACATTCTCCTCAGCTATTTTCAGACCCTTAGTGTTGTGTAAAAATACTTGATATATACCCTTCTTAATTTTGTTTTACCCATTGTCAAGAATGAAAAACATTGTAATCCTGTATCATGATTTAACAAGTTACTTCAATTTTTCCATTTTAGATCTTTCTGACGCAACATTTGATGAGGAAGTAAAGGAGAACACAAGT